ACCGACATGTGAGTCCATTGACATAGTCATTATGCCAACTGCTGGTCCTACTTTTTTGTTTTCTGTCTCTGTCTCTCTCTGTCTTTCTGGTGAGTGCATGTGCCCTAGCGCAAAAACCTCTCAAAAAAAAAATTAGTAAGCGTATTAAAACTGGATTATTTGGAACTTACATATTTCTGTTCTTTATGTCCCATGAAGTTTTTCTTCCTGGAGCAGCACTAACAAAAAATCTGGAACACTTTGCTAGAATTTTTTTTTTTAAAGCCAGAATAAGCCAATATAATAAAACTCTGACAATGTAATGTTTGAGAAATACAATGTTCTTTTAACCTTGAGTATTAATACTAATAAATATCCATAATAGTCATAAATATCAAGGCCAAATAATTTAACATCTTAAAAAGATCTGAACCAATCTCTTCATTTCATGTAGATGCAGACAGAGGAATTCGAGGTCGCAGTTAATGCTCAAGACTGAAACCTTGGGTTCCCTAAAATCAATCAGTACCTTCCATTTTCTGCGAGATGAGGGCACTATTCTCTATGTCTATTATAGTTTTCTGACCTTTGTCATTTTTTTTTCTTTGTTCATGAGAGGGTGTATACATGCATGGCAGAGAGAGAGAGAGAGAGAGAGAGGGAGGGAGGGAGGGAAGGAGGGAGAAAGAGGTGGGGAGGGCAGCATATGACTGCCTCGCCGTGGAGCCAGTCCTCTTTTTAAATTACTCTCTGCATTCTCCCTGAGAGATCGTTTTCCGCATCCACAGCTCTACATATCTATGAGCTAATCAATTCTACATGAGTCACTTGTTTATTTCTCTCTTCCTGAACACCAGATCCATCTTTTCATTTCTCTCTCAGATGCTCCTAGACATTCTGAAAGGATCTCAAATACATCACTGACCAACCTAAATTTATCGCATACTATAAATATATCAGTCCTGTTCTCTATGCATAGACTCGCTAGCCAGCCAGTATTTTTTTTCATGACAGAGGGTGCATTCATACTCCAGAGATAGAAAGCGGGAGAGTGCGCTCCCTACCCCAAACGGGGCCTGGTCACCCTGCGATCCTTCTGTTTTCTCCTTTGTCTACTCTATCAAGATTCTGAAAACCCACACACATGTACCCAGTGTGTTTTACAAGCCACAGGGTCAAGATCTGAATCAGTCGGTCACGTGGGACCTGGCTCCCACTGCACAGCACTTAACCATGGTGTCACAGGTGGGCCGTCCAGCCAGTTTGTGAAGCTAGAAACTTCTGACATCCCTTGCCACACCTTCTCTCATCCTACTTGCCTTAGTGAGTCAGGCACTAAGTCTTGTGCATTCCCACCTAAGAAATCTACCCCAGAGCTGATTCTCCTCTCTTCCCAGCACTCTTCCCCTAGTGCAGGCCTACACCATTTTTGCTTGAACTGCTGTAAACAGTCCTTTTGCCAAAAATTTCTTTGGGACACGGGAGTCCAGTGACATAGCCATTACACCAACTGCTAGTCCCCCCAAGGCTAAACCTCTTAACGTAGCACTCAAAGTCTTTCAGAATCAAGTTCCAGTTCTGTTCCAGCTGCACTTTCTACCTCTTTCCCCACGATGCTATCTATGATCTATCACCAGCTGCTTTCCTTTTATTCATGCTGTTACATCCCTCTCTTGAATGCATTCCCTTTGTTTTTGCTAAAGGGTACATACGCTTGCCAGAGAGACAGAGAGAGAAGGAGAGAGGAGAGAAAGTAAGAAAGCACCTCCCAGGAGGATGGCTATGCCACAATCCCATCTCCTCTATTATCTCTGGATTTTGGCTGGCACGCTTTCAAGTTGCTGGGTCTGGCACTTGAACTGCAGTTGGCCATATGAGATCCAGCCCCCTAACCGCCATGAGTGAGCCCTGCACTCCCTTCTTTTATCTCGTCTACCTGGCAACCACGTATTAAGTCTTCAAGACTCAGCTCAAATGTTACCTCCTTCTCTGCAGTTTTTCCTGATTTCTCAAAAATCTTAGTATGCCCCATCAAGAGTTACCACCTCAATACCACCTGCAAGGTACTATTGTAATCCACTGATTACAAACCTTAGTCACCAAACTGTAAGCTCTTCTAGGGCAGAAACCAGATCTTTTTCACCAAGTACATGGGTTGATTTAATTAAATACTGCATTTTCTCTGAGGTTAGTTTTTCATTTATGACTTCCTTGGTATGAAAAATCCAGAATTACAAAACACAAAGTAACCAGGATACTCCTAGAAGATTATTTACTTCAAAGAAATATCAGAAAGGAACTCAAACAATAGGTTTACAGACCTATGTGGCTAGTAACCATGATCAACATTCATGGTTTCTGTTTCTTCTGGGGTTTACTGGAAGGCTATTTATGCCACACTTCATTGTTTATGCACTAATTCCTTATGAACAGTTTCCCGGTATGCACGTAAAGGTATTTAAATACCTTTTTATGGGTAACTGAAATCCACTGAACCGTTCAGTCTTGGTCACTGAGATAGGGATTGCAGTGCATTCCAGTAGCAACTACAGCTTTAGCCAGTAGAATGCAAGAGCACCTTTGCATTTCCTCTGGGGTACGAGGTGAGCTCTTTCACTAATTTACTTTCAGTTAGTGAAACAGGACAAGGTCTCATGGCATTTGACATGTACTTCTCATAGACAAACGTTGCTGTAACTGAGCCATTTTAACTTTCAAAAACCGTATCTTCTTACAGTAATTGAAAAATACATTACCTCACCTTTTGGCTTTTAAAAGAAAACGTGGTAAATGTTATAATTACAGCTGCATACAATATCGATGTTTCTGCTCCCAGATGATGATTTGGGAACTAGTACACTGTCAAAGGCCCTGAGTACAGTAAAATTCTTGTCTTGTAGTAGCTAATGTCTCTCTGGTTCCCATTCTACTGCCACCAGTCAAGGCAGAACAAAACAAGAACAACATTTAGTTCAGGAATCAGAAGCGGCTATTTCAAGGCCCCATTCTCACTGCTCTATCTCAACTAAGACAGCTTAACTGAACTCTCAAACTATGCTAGCAAAAGAGAAAATATTTATAATTTTGAACAGCGTCAAGTAGTTTTTTCTAGAAGTGAAAGTATCTGATCATTTAAACAATAACAACAACAACAATAATAAACTACATAATTTAAACAAACCGAGCAGCTTTTTAGTGTTGGCCTGGGAAGGTTGCCCCATGTCCAAGCTCATGGATTTCCTGGCTCGAGGACTGGTCTGGCCCACTGCTGGATAGGTGGCTGCAAGGTACCCTTCAGAACCTTTGGGAGAAGACCACGGCTGATTCTCTTTTAGTGTCCTGAGAGATTTAAACAATTGAAAAGAATTAATTAACACAGTGACAAATATAACCATCATTTGCCACTTCCACGTGGCTGTTCCTAAGGACAGCAATCAATTGATTTTAAAAATGTACCTTTTGAGTGTGTGTGTGTGTTGTTCCAGATAGAATCTAGTGCTGAGGTCTTTCTGCCTCACTTTGGGACTACAGATACATGTTAGCACACCTGGATTTTTAAAATTGTTATTAGAGCAGGCCAGGCATTGAACCTGGGCCTCCCATGTGGCCCTAGCCTATCAAGCTGCATCCAGGTCAGACTAAAAATGTACTTTTTTTTTTTTTGGAGAGGTTTTTGCTATAGGGCACATGCGCTCGCCAGACAGAGAGAGAGACAGAAAGCAAGAAATCACTCCCCAGGGGGGATGGCCACGCCGCAATCCCTTCTCCTCCATTCTCCTCTCGGGATCTTGGGCATGCACGCACACGTGCCTGGCGTGAGTTTCAAGCCACCGGGTCCGGGACTCAAACCGCGGTCGACTACGTGAGAGTCCAGCGACATAGCCATTACGCTAACTGCTGGTCCCCTAAAAAATGTACTTTAAAGGGCTCTGATATACAAACTTTTTTTTTTTTTTTGAGAGGTTTTTGCTATAGGGCACATGTGCTCACCAGAAAGAGACAGACAGAGAGACAGAAGTAAGAAATCAGCCCCCAGGGGGGATGGCCACACTGCAATCCCTTCTCCTCCATTCTCTTGGGATCTTGGGCACGCACACACACGCGCCTGGTGTGAGTTTAAGCCACCGGGTCCAGGACTTGAATCACGGTCAACTACATGGGAGTCCAGCGACATAACCATTATGCTAACTGCTGGTCCCTACAAACTCTTAATATATCTCCAGAATGTATTAACTTTCTTGCCATGGATACTTGTACATAGTAGGTATCATCAAGTAGGTATCATCAAGTGCTGAAAGGGAAAAAGTTAAATTGACAAATTAAACATAATTATGGTTTACAATATGTCTACATGTTGGATGGTTAACTCAAGCTATTTAGAATATGCACGACTTCAGTCACCATTTATTCATGGTGAGAACACGTGAAATCTGCTCTCTGAGCGATCTTCAAGCACAGATACCTGGCTGCTGAACTATGGCCATGGGGCTGTACAGCAGGCTGCATGAACTCGTACTCGTAACTCAGGGAAATCAGGTCCAAAGAGGTACTGCGTTTTTGATTTAAAAACTAAGAAAATCACTCCTTAACTTAAACCATGGTGGAGGAAAACAGGCAAACTCACTTTCCCCTCTTTATAACAAAAAAGACATATCTCAAAGAAATATAATCATGAGACTGACTGAAGAATAAGACTACTGCATGGGAACCAGCAGTTAGCGTAATGGCTATGTCGCTGGACTCCCACGTAGTCGACCGCGGTTCGTGTCCCGGACCCGGTGGCTTAAAACTCACGCCGGGCACGTGTGCGTGCGTGCCCAAGATCCCGAGAGGAGAATGGAGGAGAAGGGACTGCGGCGTGACCATCCCCCCTGGGGGGTGATTTCTCGCTTTCTGTCTCTATGTCTCTCTCTGTCTGTCTGGCGAGCGCACGCGCCCTACAGTGAAAATCTCTCCAAAAAAAAAAAAAAAGGAATAAGACTACTGCATACCAAATATACCAAATATGTCTGGAAAACTTTCTTGAACAGTGGGAAGCTGTTACAGGCTTTTTATTAAAAGGCAGGATTAAAACAAAACAAAACAAAAACTTCCTGAAGGCACCTGTGTTTGCCAGAGAGAGATGGACAAAACAGAGAAAGAAAGAGAAAGCACCCTCCGATGGGGTGTGGTCACACCACAATCTCTTCTCCATTTTCCCACCCTGTCAGAATGTGAGGCATGCACGTACCCACACTTAGCACGCATTTCAAATTGCTGGGCCCAGGATTTGAATCATGGTTATCCATGTGGGATCTAGTTCCCTTAACCATTACTAAGCTATAGAGCCAGTCTTAGAAGAGTACTTCACTTTTTTTATTTTTTTATTTTGCTATAGGGCATGTGTGCTCGATGGAAAGAAAGACAGGGTGGCGAGGGTGGGGGTAGGGAATGGCACTCTGCAATCCCTTCTCCATCATCCTCTTGGTGTTTGGACATGCCAGCCATGTGCACATGGCATTATTTTTTAAGCTGCTGGGTCTGGGACTCAAACCATAGATTTGGCCATGTGAAATCCAGCTGTATTAACCACCACAACATTGGCAGGCCCTAAAAGATGACTTTTATGCTCAACACTATCTGATCTTTTTTTTTTTGGAGAGATTTTCACTGTAGGGCGCATGCGCTCGCCAGACAGACAGAGAGAGAGACATAGAGACAGAAAGCGAGAAATCACCCCCCAGGGGGGATGGTCACGCCGCAATCCCTTCTCCTCCATTCTCCTCTCAGGATCTTGGGCATGCACGCACACGCGCCCGGCATGAGTTTTAAGCCACTGGGTCCGGGACACGAACCGCGGTCGACTACGTGGGAGTCCAGCGACATAGCCATTATGCTAACTGCTGGTTCCCAACACTATCTGATCTTAAGAATACAATTGTTTAATTGAAAATACTAAAATCCCCAAATACTGCCGTTTACATACTACACAAAACCAAGTACAGCAAGGATATAATTTGGCTATTTTATCATCTAAATCTGTACTACAGAAAACATGTAACTTTTTTTAAAGAGAAAGTTTTGCTATAGAGCACATGTGCTCACTGGAGAGAGAGACAGAAAGTGAGAAATCACTCCCCAGGAGGGATGGCCACGCCACAATCCTTCTCCTCCATTCTCCTCTCGGGATTTTGTGTGTGCATGCACAAGCACCCGGCGTGAGTTTCAGGCTTCTGGGTCTGAGACTCAAACCTCAGTTGAGTTCTGCGAGGGAGTTCAGTGATGTAACCATTACACAATCTGCTGGTTCCAGAAGCCTTAATAACTTTGAAGTATTTATGAATACAATACATTGTCACGTATGTTGTTAAATAAGCCCATAAACCTTAATGTTCTATCACTGGGTCTGTCAGGTTGCCTACATTTCATGCTACTTCTCCCACCAACCAGACCCTTTCCTGCAAGGAAGGCTTTTAAGGTCACTTTTCATTACTTAACTAGTTTCTGCTTAAAAGAGGCAAGAGGGTCAGACAGGTGGCATGGTGGTTAAGGTGGATGGATCCCACATAGCTGACAGCATGGTTCAAGTCCCAGACCTGGTGACTTGAAAAACACACAGACAGACTTGTATGTATGACCAAAATCTTGAGAAAAGAATGGAGGAAAAGGGATTGTGGTGTGGTCATTCCCCCTGGAGGGTGCTTCTTCATTCTCTCTCTGGCAAGTCCATGCACCCTATAGCATGGGAAACTGAAATCTGATTTTAATTTCGTAATGATGGGGGTACAAGTCCTCTTACCTATAGCTGGGGTCGCCATGGTGAATGGGATATGTATCCATAGGAACATTTTCCATTGAAATATCAGTAAGAAGAAGTGACTTTCTATGTTTTAAGCTGCATCGACTTCGAACTTCTTCAGATACTGTGAGTAAAGCTAAAAAGAGAAACAAGTCATTTTAAAAAATTTAACAAACTACACGTATAACTTAAAACAGGATATCCATCTTACAACCTCCTAAAGAGGAAGATTAAAAAAAGCTGAAAAGTGTAAGGTTTAAGGATATAAAATATTTAAGACAGACGTTTTTATCTTAAGGATTTCTAGTCTATTTTGGAAGACTGTACATAATCATAAAATATACAAAAAGATTTAATAAACACCTTATATATTTTAAATGCTCTAATAGACATCTGGTCTCAATAAACACAAAAGTACACAAGGCAGTCCATTGAGGAAAAAAATGCTCTGAGATGTTCATTAATTCACTTAAAGTCCTATGGTTCAAACAAAAATGTTGCCACAAACTGAAGTCTGCTAAATGGAGAAGCAGCACTTCCTAGCACAAGAACTGTATTATACCTCAGTGCTAAATGCTGCTGAGTCGAAACAAAAATCAGATAAGAGAAATGGGGAAGGTTTAATGGAGTGGGGGGATCAGGGCAGACATTCCAGGTAAAATGGTACAAGGAATAAATGTTGAGAAGGCAGAAAGTCATTTGGCAAGCAGAGTAGTTTAAAATAGTCCAACCACTCAGAGGTGATAAAAAATGAAGCTCACGAAGTTTAGACAAAGAGGACAGACTCTTAGAGGGATGCTGGCCTGAGGCACTGGGATTTTATAAATGCTGTGTTTTGAACTGAATATTACAAAGGGAACACATTTCAGATCTTACTATAAATTCTTTTACAAGAAAAAGGGTTTTAATATTAAGAACTTGCAAAATGTTAAACACCAACGAAGGACTGGAGCAGCTGAAGGACCCAGAGGTATTTTGTACCTTTTTGGTGATCCTTAGATAGAGATGTGGTAAGATTAATTTTGTCTATTTTCTGTTTTTACCTGCTAAGTAAGCCACACTCTGCGTATTCACCTCAAATTTGTCACAGTTTCTATGTTTGTTAACCAGAGTTAGTAGCGTATGCAAAATTCTGACTGTTCTTGCAACAATGGCTGGTGAAGGATGCCGGTACCCTATAAAAAAATGAAAACAAGTTAATTTATTCTATACGTGGTACTTACTGAGTTCTTCGTTGTTACTAGAAACTTGAAAAGGAAAGGAAGTCTAAGGGTAAACACTGTCTTCCAAACAAAGCCATTTAGGAAGAAGAAACATACATAAGTTAAATGGTTAGTTAATTACACATGGGATTATGTACAAAAAATATGTAGAGTACAATGTTCCCTGGACATCTAAGGCACCTCAGAGAGAGGAAAACGATAAAAGGTGATGGTGTTTCAGATCTTCCATTCCCTAAAGAAGGAACTTAAAAACCCAACTATGTATTGGAGTTCTCCTTAAGGACTTCTTCTGAACTAGGGTCAATTACTTAAAAATTCTTTGTTTTTTTAATTAAAAGAAAAAACCTAATGACATAGGAAGTCTATGCTCTAAGAACATGAACAGTATCTTTTCAGCAATCCCTATTCATCTTTGAGAATAAAATTGTCAATATATTTTTGTACAAATTTCCTAAGGAGGTGAAATTAATTATACAGCACATTAATAGATGTATGTATTCAAGTCAGGTAAAAACTGGAGAAACCTCCATGATTCCCAAGCCCAGTAATTATTTAAATTTTTAAAATTGATATAAAACCACCGACTTGCGCTATGAGCTTGACACTGCTTTTTCTCTGACCCACTACCACACGCCGTCCCGGTTAGCCACAGCCTCTGGTCATGATTGCCCCACATTAAACAACCAAAGCTAACAAGCTGCAAATCAGCAACAGGGAGGAAAGCCAGGCTAGAGAGTTAACAAACTCTGAAGGATAGGTGTAGTTCACTGGCTAAAAGCAATATAGAAATTTGGAGACGAGGTGGCAGGGTACCTACCATACAGGTAAGCTCTATGGTATCTGATAACAGTACTGACTGACAATAAATTAGAAACAAGTTGAAGAAAATCTGTGATCAAGACTTTAAGATAACATTTTCCAATAGAAATTAATCAAATAATACACTGATTTGCAGTGTCTTATTTTGATCATCAACAAGATATTTAAGTACTATTAATAACAATACAATAATAATACAACCATTAAAGTGCTCAGTACTTAAGAATTTTACAAGAATCTACTCTTCTTTTTTTTTTTTTTTTGAGAGGTTTTCGCTATAGGGTGCGTGCGCTCGCCAGAAAGACAGAGAGAGACAGAGAGATAGAAAGCGAGAAATCCCCCCCGAGGGGGGATGGCCATGCCACAATCCCTTCTCCTCCATTCTCCTCTCGGGATCTTGGGCACGCATGCACACACGCCCGGCATGAGTTTAAGCCGCTGGGTCCGGGACTTGAACCGCAGTCAACTACGTGGGAGTCCAGCGACATAGCCATTACGCTAACTGCTGGTCCCAAGAATCTACTCTTCTGGGGCTAGCAAGTGGTGTGGACTCCCACATGGCTGACTGTGGTTCAAGTCCTGGACCTGTTCTCTCTCTGTGAGTCCTGTGGCTTGTTCTCTCTCTCTCTCTTGTGAGCACACATGCCCTATAGCAAGTTAAAAAAATAATGATGATACATAAAGTTAAATAAATATTGGGTTGTTAGAAAAGTCATGACATACTTTTTTCTATGCAGAAATACACCATGAGTTTTCTAACAACTCAATAATTCTTTTAAAAAAGTATCTACTTTAGGGAACCAGCAGTTAGTGTAATGACTATGTCGCTGGACTCCCACGTAGTCAACCACGGTTCGTGTCCCGGACCCAGTGGCTTAAATCTCACGCTGGGCGCGCGTGTGTGTGTGTGTGTGTGCCCAAGATCCCAAGAGGAGAATGGAGGAAAAGGGATTGTGGCATGACCATCCCCTCTGGGGGGTGGTTGCTTGCTTTCTGTTTCTATGTCTCTCTCTGTCTGTCTGGCGAGCACACGCGCCCTATAGCGAAAACCTCTCAAAACAAAACAAACAAACAAAAAGTATCTACTTTTCTGCTTTTTAAAGGAAATATGATTATTTGATATAGAAATTAGACCATTAAAGTACATATTGAACAAGACACTACTCAATATAACAAATATAGTTTGTACTTAAAGACATATGGACTAAATTATTTCTATTTATTGATATTTTATATAAATTATTTTAACTACTTCTGGTTTCTTAACACTATTTCATAAAAATACTCTAACATAATAACTCTACCTATTTTTTTTTTTTAGAGAGAGATTTTTGCTATAGGGTGAGTGTGCTTGCCAGATGGTTAAAAAGTGACAAATCATCCCCTTATTCCTTTATTTAAGGAATAAATACTTTATTCTCCTCTCAGAATTTTGGGCATGCACACGCACACACGCTTGGTGTGAGTTTAAGCCGTTGGGTCCGGGACTCAAACCACAGTCAACAATGTGGGAGTCCAGTGATGTAACTGTTATGCCATGTGCTGGTCCTAGAACTCTACCTTTTAAGAGGTGTCCAACTAGTGCGAAGTTAAAGTTAGAGTTGAAATTGAGTCCAACGAAATGATCCATTTGCTTGCAGTGCCATTCTAGAGGATTCCGGATTGCCATAAATACTTCCTCTGGACTCTATTAAAGATAATCATGAGATAGTTGACAGGGTTCACATCACTTACTGGTTTTGGTTTATGTTCAACAGCTATGATAAGATAAGCAATTCCTTCAAGTTGAGAGACATTATTTTTAGAGGACTACAGAGAACCACAGAAAAACATTTATGGTATTTTAAGTTAAATGGTACAAGACAGTGAAGTATACAAACAAGAAGACAGTGAAAGATGAAATAGCTCTGATGGACAGTATCAAATAATGATTGTCAGTTTACATCCTGGAGACTGTTTTACAAGTTTTAACTTTTATTTCTAAATAAATGCTGGGGCACTCAAGTCAGTTTCTGATTCTAGACTACTCTGACAATGAAAATACCGAGGTTCATAAGATACAAACACTTCATTTCAATTTTTTTTTTCAAGAAATTTAAAACATATGTTCATTTAATCCATGAATTAGAGAGAGACAGACAGTACTCCCAACAGGGTCCCAAACTAGTTTCAACCAGCCCAGATCATGGGCAGGCCTCCAAACACGAACTGGCAACCTTTCATGTGGGTTAGCCTTGCACTTTACAGCTATACCACTGTCCGCTTCCCCTCTGCCCCCAAGAATGTCTTTAAAAGTTATTTATTTATTTCTAGGAGAAATCACCTCCCGGGGGGGATGGCTACATCAAAATCCCTTCTCCGTTCTCCTCTTGGGATTTTGGGCATGCATGCACACTTGCCCAGGGTGATTTGTTTGTTTTTAAGAGAGATTTTTGCTATAAGGTCTGTGCGCTTGTGGGAGAGACAGAGAGAGAAAGCGAGAAATCACCCCTTGGGAGGATGGCCAACACAATCCCCTTTGCTCTCAGGATTTTGGGCATGCATACGCATGTGCCCAACATGAGTTTTTAAGCCACCAGTTCTGGAACTCAAACAGCAGTCGACTCCGTGGGAGTCCAGCAATGTAACCTTTACACCATCTGCTGGTCCCTAGGGTGATTTTTAAGTCACCAGGTCTGGAACTCAAACCACGGTCAGCCATGTAGGAATTTAGTGCCTTAACCGCCATGCCGCCCCCTGGCCCTGTCTAGCCCCTTTTATTTGTAAATATTCTCACACAGATAACAGCTAGGCACACCGTATTGCCTTCCCGAGATAACTCCACAAAACAGCAGCAGGAGTTAGGAAAAAAGGGTTCTAGTGCCAAACCAAATGTACAAATAGAGTCAAGTTACTTAACCTTTTTGTTCTTTTCTCTTTAGTAACATGGAGGTCTAACTGATAAACTTCAAGGCACCTCCTACCTCTAAAATTTTGCTTCCACACTTTCCAGACCCCAGTTGATCTGGATCATACCACAGCTGGTAGACTAAACAAAAATTGATTAGGCCAAGTTATTTTCACACTTAAACCATGCTACAGTTCTCTTTCTACATACAGTTTAGTTCATTTTATTTCAGGCAAATCTCTTATTATATATACCTGTCTTTAAAATTTTCCTTTCTTTTCTCCTAGACTCTTGCCATTTTTCCCCAAAGACAAAAGGAACATAATTTCACACTATGTTACTGCCTTCCCCATAGTCTATAACCTAAAATTCAATTCCGATCAATGTTGATAAATGTTTAGAGGAGTGCCAAAAGTATACTTTAAGGTGAAATTAGGCAAAGGGAAAACTATTAAAATTAAGTGCCCCCAAATTTATTTTAGATTCTCTGTTTCCTTTAGATTTTCCACTTCTTTATACGCTACTAGTTATACCTGTTTTTCATTAAGTAGCATTATTCAATAAAGAAGCTTGTTTTCAGATTATTTCATTTGTGTAGTAGGGGGATGGAGAGTGCTAACCCCCTACCTTAGGGTTATGAAAATTAAAACAACTAATTAGTTATCAGCATAGAGCCTGGCATGGTAGTTGTTATTACTGTTACTGTCACTTATTTCCATTTCACTAGCAATGGGCCAATACTGTTTTTCACTATTTTTATGTAGAGAAATATAAATTAAAGCTTAATTTCTTTTTTCTTTAGCATGTATATGTGAATGCACATGCATGTGTGCATGCGTGAGCATATGGTGTTTTTAGACAGGGTCTCACTAATGTCACCATCCTCCTGCCTCAGCTGAGTAGTTGGGATCACAGTTGCACTACTGTGTCTGCTTTTATGTAGGTTTTTCTTCCGAAGGGTGCATGTGTTCGCCAGAGAGAGACAAAGAGATAGTAAGAGGGAAAGTGAAAAATCACCCCCTGAGGGGATGGCCACCCCGTGATCCCTTCTCTGTTCTCCTCCTGGGATTTTGGACATGTATACACCCATGCCTGATGTGATTTTCAAGCTGCCGGGGTCCAGGACTCAAACCACTGTTGGCCATGTGGGAATCCAGCACCTTAATCCCATGTTACCTGCTGGTTCCCCAAGTCTGCTTTTAAAGGGTGGGCCGAGTCTCAAATTTGGCCTGTCTGTATTACTGCTGATTTTTAGTTTAAGATCTGATAAAAAAACTATATTCACAGTAAGTTGCATTATAGAAATTAATATTTAAGTTATAAACCTTTTCCAATTTTGAAAGAACAACAAGAAAAAGAGGGAAGTGTACTAAAGAGTAATCTAGGAATCCCAAGGGAAAGCTTGCTTACCTTGTCATTGAATATCCGGAGACTATCTAAGGTGTGCAGGTTTTGTTCAAGAAGTGCGGTGCCTGCTGAATATAAGTTGACCTCATCAAGCTGCAGCACAGCCACAGCCACCCAGAAGAGTGCTTTGTGCAGAGGGGAGTCCTGGCGAAGGAGAGGTGTTCCCAGTTAGTGAAATCAAACAGTCTTAGTCAAAACACACTGCAGTATAAAACAGAGCACGTTATCTGCCCAAATTCCCTACGTGTTCTCTTTGGGAGAAGGTAAATATATGGATAAGCTCTTCATCTTTTCCATGTATATGACTAAAGATACTGTTAGCTGTGCTAAGAATCTTAGCATCTCTGATTTCTCCCTGTTCTTTGATTCCCAAGTCCAGTCATCTGGGTTTGTTGATTCTTCTGAGTCATCTCATTTGCATCTGCCATTGTTTTCTTATTGGTAATGACATTACCCCAGGCCAACGTGGACTCTTTCTGCCATCAGTTTCTCCCTACTCCAACCACTGTGCACACTTACCACCAGAGTGAGCTCAGTCCTGATTTTGCTGTATTACTTTTCTGCTTGAAAATGGTACATTTCCAAACTCTTTTCTGAAGAATGCTGAATATTCAATTAGCTCTATCCAATCATCACAATTTTCCCTCAATACTCCCTAGAGAATTTTCTCCTTCACTACTGCAAGGATGTGCACACAATCCCTCCAACGTGCCCATCCCTACTGCCATACCTCCACTGCTCGGGGTTTTTTCCCTTTTCCTCTCCCTACACTAAATCCTACCCATCTCTTTTAGCTCTACTTAAACTCCTCCCTGTCAATTTCTTTTCAACCTCACTGGTACTATAATCTTCTCTTTCTGCTCTGAGTTAAAAATATGTGTTACTGGTAATCTGTATTTAGCACTATGGTATATGGGAAAATACACAAATTCAGAGAGATAACTTTAGATTAGAATCATGGTTCTGTCTTTCAGCAGGTATGGGATACTTGGCCAAGTTACTCCATCCTTCTCAGCCTCATTTTTACTTTTAAGATAAGGAAAGAAAAACCATTTTGTATGATTTAGGATTAGGATGTGTGTAGAACATACAACTCAATACCAGGAATATAACAGGTATTTATGTCTCTAATCTCTTCCAAGTCTGGCATGCCATTATACTCAATTCACAGAATGAACATACACGGCATTACAGTTGGAAGGTAAAACTACGTCATTATCTTGTCTACTTTACTCATTTTTATCAGTGTGAAAACTGATGTTCGGATATGTTAAATGGCTCGCCCGAGGTCACAAAGATGAGATGAGCTTCAGCCATCCTAAAACAACATCTACGTTATTTATCTCCTGACAATATCATCTTCATTTAGCATGACCCCAACTTTTTGATGGTAAAGAATACTCTCAGTTTTACATTCTCCATAATCATGATCATAGTATACATTTTACTTACTTTATTACCTATCCCTTTCCTAACCTCCTAACCTCTCCTAACCCCAGACTGTGAAGTCCATGAGGGGAGAAAATGTTACCGACTTGTTCAGTACTATCGATACAGCCCTGTGCCTATGATAGCCATGGCACAGAGCAGATATCCAACTAATACCTAGTACATAGAATATTAAGAAGGCTATATTTTCTTTTGTCTGATAAAAACAAAAACAACGCCCAAGCATTTGAGAACGTATTTTCCAGACGCACTCTTCCTCTAATGCAAACAAGTAAACTTTAAGAAATTCTACTTTATAGCTTTTTCTTTATAACTTGGTTCATCCTATTTTCTGAACTCTTTGAAAGAAAATAACATTTAGCCCCAGTACCCACAACGAATACACTTATTTTCTATGCATTAATTACCTTATTAAGAAGTGGCTGTAATTTGGTTAGTGCTATTACTGTAGCTTCTATCAAAACTTGACTGTTGTAAGTATCAGGTCCTTTTAAGCAACTCTCAAGTGCCTTTTAGGGAAACAAAGTTCTTTATTTTACTTTCATTGAAATAAAATATTGAATTAAATAACTCCTAGACTGAATCTCAAAACAGTTCAGAAACATTTACTTACTTAAAAAGTGCTATAATTATTTCTAATCTATAGTGATCTTGATAGTAAGCCCAATGCACATTTATTTTTTAGTATTTCTACTTTACAGTCTAATATAGTAAGTCAGGTATTATTATATTAATTATAATATAATTATGTATTTTTAAATTATGTATTTTTAAATAAGGCTTAAGTCTTACTATATAATTAAATTATTTGAAAGCTGATAAAATATTAAGGGTAACTGCTTAGCAAAAGACACAAAATACTTGTTTTGTTTTAAAGACATTTCCTTCCCTCCCCCACTTCTTTCTTTAGGTTTTTACCATGGGGTGCATACACTTGTTGGAAAGAGACACAGAGAAACAGAGAAAAGGAAAGTGAGAAATCACCCTGGGAGGGGGGTTGGGGAGTGGTCATGCTGCAATCCCTTTCACTCTATTCTCTTCTATTAAGTTTTGGTCACACACACGCACATGTGCCTGGCATGATTTTCAAGCCACCAGGTCCAGGGTTTGAACTGTGATCAACTATTTGGGAGTCCAGCACCTTTGCCATTATGCCATCTGCTGGCCCTAAAGACTAATCTTTTTTTTTTTTTTTTTTTGAAGAGGTTTTTGCTATAGGGTGTGTGCGCTCGCCAGACAGACAGAGAGAGACAGAGAGACAGAAAGCGAGAAATCACCCCTCATGGGGGATGGCCATGCCGCAACCCCTTCTCCTCCATTCTCCTCTCAGGATGTTGGGCACGCATGCACACGCGCCTGGCGTGAGTTTTAAGCCACTGGGGTCCGGGACGTGAACTGCAGTCAACTACATGGGAGTCCAGCAACATAGCCATTACGCTAACTGCTGGTCCCGAGACTAATCTTTAGAAAATATTTCTTCACTTTAAAGAATTACAGAAAAGAAAAGTCCATTTTTGAAGACTTAGTAACAAACAATAGGAGATATTTTAATAAATTCAAATTTAAATGGTCTTTCAGAAAAATGAAAGATACACTTTCAACTTAAGAAATGCAGATACTTGGGAGTAGGGAGAGAGCGATACCTTGCTAAGAATTCGGATAATTTGCTTTATCTGCCCATGAGACACTCGCTTGCTAATACAGCCAAAGACAACAAGAGCTCTTGGTTGCAGGGATGGGTTATATTGGAATGCAAATCTGCAATGAAAAGATCCAAAGAGTTTATGAAAACCTTTGTGTTTACACATACTAAATAATAAAATATTGATTATGCAGCAATAGCTATCTTTTCAACAACACACATACTTTAATAATTTATATTTAATTTGGGAAATACCTTTGAGCTAGTTCTGTCCACTGGTCCAGCCACTTGCATGTTGGAATATCTCTCATACATGCCTAAAAAAAAAGGATACTCTAAATACATTTACTTATATGTATGTATATAAATGTTTTTAGAAACATTTAAATAATGCTTATTGCAACATCATTACATAAATGATACATTACCAATAACACATTTTATGGAAGTGCTTTTATTTAAGTATTAAGTGCAAAACAAAATAAAATAATATTTCTTCTATACAATGTTAGATTTTTAAAAATTATTTAACTCAGTTTCTATCATTTTGCTTTTTATACCTCCATGATCTCCAACAAAGCTTCTGTGACTGTTTCCAAAGACGTTAAAGCAAAAGTCTCTCTCTCATAGGAGCCAGGCGAGAACGACCTGTCCCGGTAACTGGAACGGAAGGCAATGACAGCAGCTGACTTGACTTTGCTAATGCCAAACAGCAAGTAAAATTTGGGTAATGAGAACTCTGTTAAACTGAGTCTCAAAACTTGCTTGGTCTCTTCTGTAAAAGAAAAAGGGAACAAGTAAAGACTTGGAAGACATTAACTTTTTAATTCTAAAGTTCCATGTTTCACTTGGAATTTTAAAATTTTGAATGTCATATAGAAATGATAAACTATGCTCTCTAAATCAAACTTCTGGATATATCATATTTTATGCTCATTGCTGTAGTTGCGCTTTCCTACAGATTAGAGCTAGTGATGCGATACTATCAACGGGCACTGAGCACTTAGCTTATGTGATAACTGTAAGTCTACATGACAAACATGCACAGAAAACCCTAACTACTGCTTGACATGGCGGTAATTTGTTCTTTTTCTTTTTGATAATATTTCATGTCATTACTGTAGGCTTAAATTAGCATCTTGGTGTTAAGGCACCTTCATAAATAATAAGGTAATCTATATCAATCAAGGGAAGTAGCATAGAGAAAGGAACCAGTGAAACACAAAATTACTTTCCCGGAACTTACCACTAAAATGAAGCTGTGAACAAGTACACAGAGAGTGAATGATATTAATGACCAATCCATGTGTGGAAGCTCTAAGGGACAGTGGCCCTGTGGCTACTAAGAAAGTAACGATGTGGAAGAGGTAGGGGAGATGAGCTGCCACATCAAGGGAATTGTTGAAGGAAAGCATCAGCATGTAGCGCGCTAAAATAGCAATATCGTCCCACATGAGATGTTGTTCTAATGTAGGAGTTGGGGATAAACATGTCTTATCAATTATTTTGCACATCCTTCCAATAACCTGTAAAAAAGCAGAATTTTATTTTTTCTTATTTTTTAAGAATTGTTCATTTAATTTATATTATTATTATTAGTTTTAACTTGTTATAATAATCAGAGAGAAACAGAATGAGAGAGAGAAGGGGAAAGTGAGAAAGTCAGTCACCAGGTCCAGGACTAGAACCGTGGTCATGTGGGAATCCAGCACCCTAACTACTACATAAACTCCCTAACATAATGTATAATATTAATGTATAATACATATATACATATATATAATATATGTATATGTATGTATATATTATATATACGTGTGTGTGTGTGTGCGTGTATGTATGTTTTGTTTTTTCCCCTAACAGAGAACTCAACCTCTTGGGGGGGGGTCTGGTAAGTATTTCTCCCCTTTGCACCTCACACCATCCTCCACCACTCACTCTCTACTATTTGCTCCTGTCCCTTACCATCTCTGGTATCCTCTCTACTATCTTATCTTCTGATCTTTCCATTTCTGCCATAAAGTGCAGATATTTGCCACAGATTGAGTGGGACTATACAGTGGGTATCTTTCAAAGTCTGGCTCACTTTGGTCAGTATTAAGTCTTCTATGTTCCTCCACTTTGATGCAAATGATAGGGTCTCATTACTTCTTACGGTTGAGTAATATTCCATAGTATATATGTGCCATAGTTTTCAACCCAGTCATCAGTTTTGGGACACTTAGGTTGGTTTTGCGTTTTAGCAGTTGTGAATAATGCTGCAATAAACATGGGTGTGCAAGTGCCTTTCTGACTGTTTTTCTATCCTTTTAGTAAATACCAAAGAGTGAAACAACTGGGTCATTTGGTAGTTCTTTTTGTAGATTTTAAAAGAATCATATTGTTCTCCACAGAACCTGTACTAACTTACAGTTTTGTTTTTTCTAAAGAGGTTTTTGCTACAGGGTGTGTATATTTGCTGGAGAGACAGAGAGAGACAGAAAGTGAGAAATCACCCCCCAGGGGGGATAGTAACACTGCAAACCCTTCTCCTCCATATCCTCTTGGGATCTGGGGCATGCATGCACATGTACCCAGCGTGAGTTTTAAGCTGCTGGGTCTGGGACTTGAACTGTGGTTGCCTACATGGAAGTCCAGCGATGCAATGATTACACCATCTGCTGGTCCCAATATACACAGTTCGTTAAAAACCTAGGGCTAATACAACGTTTTATTATAAAAACATTCAGTTTAGTTTTAAAAGTATTAGTTACAAGACAGATACATTACTCCATAGTCCAGAAGGCAAAGGAAAGGTGATTACCTTGCTTGAAACCAACTTCACATTCCCAGAAGCCAAAGCTACGGCAGTATCTGCCATCACCTCAGCTTTGACTGATCCCAGGCCACCTGTCGCACTGGTTTTGATGAAACTGTCTAGTACAACATCAAGCAGATCTGTAATCTAGTGAGAGAGAAAATAACTCACATTTTTAACTACTCTACCAACTTAGTTTTTAATTTAAAAATACTCAAGGAGCAACCCAATTAACATGAAAATTCTGTTTTATCTGAGGCCTCCAAAATGCTAGATTTCATTTAAAGACAGGTCAGTAAGTATAATTTATCACAAATATCCACAGAAGGATGGGTATATTTACTGATTCCTTCAGAGATTAAGAGATTAGTATACAGAATTTAAAAATCTCTATACATACTGTCTTCATTCACTTGCAAAGTATCTCCATGCTCTTCAGAGCAAGCACTATATGGTTGATATAAAATATAATTACTTTAAAATACCAGAAATGACAAGTACAGAGACATTTTCTAGGTTATAAACCTGGCTCCAAAGTCGTTCAAAATTATTTAGAGGACTTGCAGTGTTGTTTGAGTAAGGGCAGTGCTTCCTTAAGTGATTATTTGAAGAAATGAAACGCATAATTCTTGCCAGATAAAAAATAATATGTTAAATTATATGCTATATTTTAATATGGCCATTCACATACTATAACTATAAATAAAATAGGTGACCCAAATAAGATCATTAAGAAACATTCTTCGGGCCAGTAGGTGATGTGGTGGTTAAGGTGCTGGACTTCCACATAGCTGACCATGGTTGGAGTCCTGGATCTGGCAGCTTGCTTTCCCTTCTCTCGTTCTCTGTTTCTTTGATTAAATTAAAAAATAATAATAACAAATAAAATTAAATAATTTTTTTTTAAAAGAAAAGAAACATTCTTTGATGGCCACTGTGTGTGGGGAACTAGAATACATGTTTTTTTTTTTTTTGAGAGGTTTTTGCTACTGGGCGCATGCACTTGCCAGACAGACAGAGAGAGACATAGAGACAGAAAGCGAGAAATCACCCCCCAGGGGGGATGGTCACGCCACAATCCCTTCTCCTCCATTCTCCTCTCGGGATCTTGGGCACACACGCACACGCGTCCGGTGTGAGTTCTAAGCCACCGGGTCCAGGACACGAACCGTGGTCAACTACGTGGGAATCCAGCGACATAGCAATTATGCTAACTGCTGGTTCCCGGGAACTGGAATACATTCTAAAGTGCTATTTACTATTGGGTCATTGGAAAAGTCATGATGCATTTTTGCACAGAAAAACAGACAAATACATAATGACTTTTCTGAAGACCCAAAAGAAACAACTCCAGATTTCTACCATTAAATTCTATATAATTATGCTAAGAACAGTGCTAACATAACTAGTTTTTCCTCTAACTCTGAGACATCAACAGGTAATGACAGTTTAGAATCAGACAAAGAGTTGGTGAGCGTATGTGTTTTGAAGGATGGAATTACGTTTCCTACGGTTGTCTCATTAGTGCCTAAAACAGTGCTTTGCACAAAGTGGGGCCTAGATAAACATGTGTACAAGGGAGATACCAGAAAAATACTTGAGCACACACCATACCTGCCCAAGGCTCCCCCATATTTTTGCTTGAATAGATGGGTACATCTGTTTCTCATTTATGGTCATTGTTATCAGCTTATCAAGAATGGCAGTAACTCTTTGTCGTTTGGCATCATCGTTATGCTTACAAAAACGAACTAGATTTGACAGCCATGGAGTCATATATTCCAAACAAAGATGTTTCAATTCAATACCTGGAAAAAAAATACACTGTTACCATAAATGGTAAATGAAAATTGTATCAACAAATATTTTAATATAAGGATTGGGGGTAAAAGGTAAAAACCATTACCTAGAATCAGGCCTGGAGAAAAGACACTTGTCAAATATGTTTTTGAAGATAGAGATGAAGAAAGAGAACAAGCCTTGAAGAAAGTAATTTTGAAAGCCAGTAAGCCAATTTTTGAAAAGTCTTATTTTTCCCCTTTTAACTATTTATAGTTAAAAATTTGCTTTATCCTCATTATAAAATAAAAACATTGCCAAAAAAAAATGAACTGATACTAATAAGTTGGTATGTAACCTAATTTCTCCTTGGGCTTTCAAATCCATATAAAGATCATTTTTATTAATGTGTATGTATACATACATGTAACCACCCTATTTTCTCATAAAAATTAGGACTGTGCTATATATGCAGTATGCTCTGGATATATTTTTTACTAAACATTATACTGAGATTTACTCATCATTAAAATTCTCTAGGGGCTGGCACGTAGGGTGGTGGTTAAGACACTGGACTCCCACGTGGCTGACCGCAGTTTGAGTCCCGGATCTGATGGTTTGCTTCCTCACTTTCCCTTTCTCTCTCTGTTTCTTTGATCAAGTTAAATAATAATTAATAAAATAAAATTTAAAAATTCCCAAAAACATTCTTTAATTTTTATTTTGAAAGAATTTCAGACTAATAAGAAGACATGAAGACAGTACAAAAATTCCTCTATACATTTCACCTATAGTGTCAAAGACAATTTTTAAGTTGTAGTAAAATATATACAAAATAAAAGTTACAATTTAACCCTTATTAAACATTCAGTTGAGTGATGTTATATATTTAATACATTCACAATGTTGCACAAACATAACTACTACACATCTCCAGAACTATGCATCTTCCCAACCTGGGACTGTTTACTAAAACATTTTAAAAAATAATTATTTATTGTTATTATTTTTAAATTTGCTATAGGGCACATATTCTCACCAGAGAGAAGAGAGAGAATAAGAGAATAAAAGTGAGAAAGCAAGCTGCCAGGTTTGGGATTTGAACTGTGTTTTACCATGTGGGAATCCAGTGCCTTAACCACCATGTCACCTGGTGGCCCCTCTACCATAACATTTTTAATGACTTCATATGACATCATACTGAGACCCAATGATTTAATCAGTTCTTTACTGTTTAACTTTTGGACCATTTCAACAATTTTGCTGTTGTAAATAATGTTATATGAAGTTTGAAAAATAAATCTATGGCACCAGAAGTCATAACTGTTTACTGTTGGTAAGGGAGGTACTGACTGACAGAGGATCCTTCTGGATTAAGGGAGTGTTCTACACCTCAACCTGAAGGTACTTTGTATGTACTCACATATAAACATTCATCAAGTGGTTCACTTAAGATCTGGGAACTTTACTGCTGACAAGATATACTTCATATTAAAATGTCTAAATAAAAAAAATGCTATAATAAGTATCTTCACATTTATTTCTCAAGATGAATTCCAAAAAGTGGAATTAAGAGGCCAAAAAATGTAAACAGCTTTCATATTTATTTATTTTAAATTGTGCCAGAGGGCATGTGTGTTTGTCAGAGACAGACAGAGAGGTAAGAGGAGGTGGGGGAGGGAGGGAAAGTACCCCCACTCCCAGTGGAGCATGGTCACACCACAATCCTTTATCCTCCATTTCTCCATCCTGTCAGAATTTGGGGCACTCATGTACATGCGCCAGTGTGTTCTTCAAGCGGCTAGGGCTGAGATTCAGACTCCGTGGTTAGTTACGTGGGATTCACTTCCTTAACCACTAGACAATACTAGCTCAGGGTGAACATTCTTAAGGGTCTTGCACTCCACTTCCAAACTGCTTTCTGGAAAAATTGCCCCTGCTCACAATTCCACAGATCATCAGCACTTATTTTTTTAAAAAAACATCTTTGCCAATCTAACAGCTAAATAAATCTATTTTTTTAGTTTACATTTTAATTTTATTAGCAAAGTTATAAACTTTTTAAAAGTATGATCTATGCTGTTGTTTATCTGTTTTTCTTATTCATCTGTAAGAAGTCTTTGTGATTAGGATAGTAATCTTTTCTAACATTTCCCCTAAGAGTATTTACTAGATTTTTAAAAGGAACTATTTATTTACTTATTTATTATTATTTTTAAATTTGCTGTAGGGCATGTGCACTTACGAGGGGGGGAGAGAGAGAGTGCAACAAGAGAGAAAGTGAGAAAGTAAGCTTTCAGGTCCAGGACTCAAACTGTAGTTAGCCATCAGGTAGGAGTCTAGCCCCCCAACCATCACCCCACCTGCTGGCCCCACTAGTTCTTAATTTATTTTTCACTTTCCCCCCCCCCACACACAAATGTATGTACGCATTCCCCTCCTATTGATGACTAGCTAAAGCTTGCAATGACCTAATACAGAAAAATCAAGAAATGTGCTTGAATATGGTTAAAAAAAAAAAAAACACAAGGTTTTATGTATTATGAGGAGAGAGGGAAGGGAAGAAAACGTCAGGAAATAAAGCTGAGAGAAGACCAACACTTATACTACCACAGGGTCTGAAGACGGACAAATACAAACAGTGGCGTCACATTTATGAGACTTATTAAAGTCAAGTCTGGGCTGACTGCGGGCTGGGTCACGTGCAGCTGCACTCTCCACAAACGTACATTACGACAAAATCACAGTTCAGAGCTGACCCAAAGAGAAAAGACTATTTCCTAAAACCAATGAGAAAATGTGGATACTTTACTCATGTGATTTTTTTTTACTAAGAAGAGAAACATTAAAGCTAATGAAACTGAAACAATGAAGAATATACTTAGTGAGCAGTTCATAAATGTATAAATGCACCAAAGCTCTGCCACCTTGCTTTACTGCCAGAACTTTGGTGGATTTCTCAATGTGTCATTCCAGAAGTTCCTTTGGTTACAGGATACCACAGATGAAAAATTAGAAGAGTTTGTAAAAAAGTAAAAATAAGTAAAAGACTTCACTGGCAGATTCTGAAATGAAAGGGTTTTTTGTGAATATTTTTTAGTCATTGTTAATATTAAAGAAAGCTGTCAATACTTACTAGATTTGCTAAATCCAGAAATACACTCTTCCAAAAATTCCAATGTGAGGTGTGGCTCATTGGCTGCCAGGGTCTTACTAATTGAGACAATGAAGAGGGTGTTGTTGGCTGGGATACACAAACCTGATGTCTCTAGTAACTGGCCCTCGATTTTTAAATTAAAGGTACAAGTTAAGGCACACAGAAGATTATAGGCAGCTGACCTAGGAGGAAACACAAATTAAGTTTTAAAATTTATTTTTTCTTATAATTCCAAAATTTCTTCATAATATAAAATTATAATTCTATTAAAAGTGTGATTAAATAATTTTTATATTCAATTTGAGATAAAATATTATAATTCTATGGTAAACCCAAATACCCCTTGAAAACTTAAGGGTTTTTTCCTTCTTTTTTTAAAGGGGTGGGAGGAACAGACCTTCCTAAAAGACACTGGAACAGAAAAATATGGGTGGTTTGGAGTCCTACAGTGGATCAATAGAAACAAAATCCAAATAAGGCATATCATGCTTTTAGGTGAAGACAAAACTCAAATTATTATTCTCTGTCCTACTAGACCCAGGTATGCCTGGGGACCTCAAGAAGAGAAATGAGATGGTCCCTTTTCAAATGAGAATGTTAACATCTTTAATTAACATTTACTGAATTTGTTTCTAGATATTTTACACATTGGAAGTCAAAAACAAAATGAACTTACAGTTAAGTTCCCCCCCTGTTTTCTTCCACGACTTCATACCGTCATATATAACTACTGAAAACAAAAACTGTAACATCCAGGTTCTATCCAAACCAAATTTCACTGTAAATGTATGTCTGAAAATATATTTAAACAATCAAAGAGACAGCTTTAAAAACTCAGACTTAATTTTTAAGTTTTATTTTTTCTCCTCCATCCAGTAAAAAAAAAAAAATACTGGACTATTGGAAAAATCATGACACGTTTTTGCATACAAAAACATTGAAAAATAAGGCATGACTCTTCCAACAACCCAGCAGTTTGATTGCTCAGTAAATCTCAAATTTTCCTTACTTCTGAACTTTCAGCATGCTAATATATTTATACAACAATCATGCGGGGGAGAAAAAGCCACAGAAATTAAGTCTGCCTAAAAGTTTTTTTCTCTGTGATGACATGCTTTGGGGAAAATCAGAAGCTGTCAAGTTGCTTTATTTCACCAGGGGAAAGTATGGATTTATTAAAACTAATAATTACTAGAAGGTTGTTATCCTTCTTCATGAAGAACTTTAAAGTAGAAACTAAAAGGTAGGTTTGTAGTTCCATTTTCCTAAAATGAGAATATCAATGGTATTGCTCCTAAGTTTAAGTATCTTTTACAACTTGCAGGGATTCTAAGTTATGTTTTGACAGTAACTCTTGTATATTTCAATACTTAGAACTAGGCTTCCTCAACCAGGGGGATAGGTGTCACAGACCCCTCTGAGAAAATGAAAGCTTGGCATACATGAAATTTTGTGTACAACTTTTAGGGGTTCATGAACCCTATGAGGCCTACCCAGGTAAAGAAATCTTGACCTCTTAAGTAAGTAAAGGAGAATCTAGAGTCCTATTATAAAAGGCCCATGTTACACTATAGGGAAGGTTTCCTGGAGCTGAAAATTTTAACTATCAATATCTTGACAGTCCCAAAGTACATGAGACAAGGAATCACTTTAACATGAAAAGTAGAGAGAGCAAAGAGAGGAGTGCAGAGACCTTGGTAACAAGGAAAAGGGATGAGGAGAGAAAACACTATTTACAAATCACGACTATGTGCCAGGCACTGTACTACAACACACATTATTTATTAAACCTTTGTAGACGTGTGAGGAAGGCATCGTTACCTGTTGTGGTACAAATGAGGAATCTAGAGTCAGACAACTTCACTACCCCGCCCACAGTCACACAAAGCTAGGAAGCAGCAGGTTTAGATTAGACCGAATCTTACAGATTCTACAGGCCATGCTCTTCCCCATTCATGTCCAAATGATTAAGACTGAACAGGACCAATTAGATGGCAGTTACATTTATAGTTCTTTCAAGAATTCTGTTTAAGTAATACAGATGGAAAGTAATAATATTACTGTTTAAATTATTGAATATTAGGCCTTCCTCTGTCAAACAATGATAATTTGATTTGACTATTAGGAAACTTAATAGTGATTTATTCATGAACATGGGAAAACCTAATAAGAGAACTCAGAGGAAGACAAACTTAATTTAGGAACAGACTTTTTTTTTTAAAAGAACATTTTCTGGGACCAGCAGTTAGCGTAATGGCTATGTCGCTGGACTCCTACGTAGTCGACCGTGGTTCGAGTCCCGGACCCGGTGGCTTAAACTCACGCCAGGCGTGTGTGCGTGCGTGCGTGCCCAAGATCCCGAGAGGAGAATGGAGGAGAAAGGATTGCGGCGTGGTCATCCCCCCTGGGGGGGGGTGATTTCTCGCTTTCTATCTCTCTGTCTCTCTCTGTCTGTCTGGCGAGTGCACACGCCCTATAGCAAAAACCTCTTCAAAAAAAAAAAGAACATTTTCTTTGGGAAAAATAAATCTGCTATGTTGTCTGTTTTAGAAGTTTCCTGGAGAAAAAATATATATTGCTTTAATGTGAATCACCCTACTCAGAATTCCGCAGTTCCTGTGAATGCCCACAACTTGATGACGTCACACTGGCTAACCAACATACAGCATAACTTCTAATTCACAGTATTAAAGTTCAGAGCTGCTTTTGAGACTTATTAAGTGGCCTCTTTTAAAAAGTTACAAATTCTGAAAGAAGTTGAATAAGCTTTTTAAAAACCTACCGTAAACTAGGGTCTGAACTGCCTAAATTAAGTAATGCAATGTTGAGCAGAGTCCCAGGGACATCTTTTGGCCGAATCTTGGTGTGCTGGGGGATAGAGTCAGGCTGTGACAGCTCCCAGCGGGTCCGGATGTGAATGATAGACTGAACAATGGCTTCACACTCCTGGTGCATGAAGGTGAGTGGTGTGCCCTGGTTTGCAATGGTTAAGGTGAACTGGTTCTCATCCACTAGGCAGATCTCTTCAATTTCCGAGGCATAATAAATATCATTTAAAAAGACTGATTGCCCCAGGACTTTTGTTCGCTCTGCTGAGGTTACTTGAACGGCAGTAGAACCAACCTGGAAAGTTGTGGTGAAGGAGTGAAATAGAAAAGAATTAAATTCCATCAAACAGAATTCAAAGAGGCTCCAAAAACCAACCAGTCAATCAAACAAACAAAACACCATTTTTGCTTTTTCAGGGGCAATTACCACATTCTAAATTAAAATGGGTCCGATAATTATTATAAGAAATTCTCTTGAAAGAAACTGAAAACATCAGAAAAAGAAGATTAATTTTGCTTTTCAAAAAGGTTAAGAATCCAGGGACCAGCAGTTAGCGTAATGGCTATGTCACTGAACTCCCACGTAGTCAACCGCGGTTCGCGTCCTGGACCCGGTGGCTTAAAACTTACACCGGGTGCATGTGCATGCATGCCCAAGATCCTGAGAGGAGAAAGGAGGAGAAGGGATTGCGGTGTGGCCATTCCCCCTGGTGGGGGTGACTTCTCATTTTCTGTCTCTCTGTCTGTCTGGCGAGCACACGCGCCCTATAGCAAAAACCTCTCAAAAAAAAAAAAAAAAGTTAAGAATACTATAGACAAGTGCTATTTTATTCTGAAGGTTAGTGTTCCCCAGTCAGAAGAAAGCATGTAGTAATCAGAACCCTCACTAAATAATTTCCACTTTCCACACATTCCTATTATCTGACTAACATAGAGCAAACAGCCTACTCTACAAAACTCTCTGCCTGTAACCTAACCTGTTGGGTAGTTGAAAAAGTCATGATGCATTTTTGCATAGAAAAATATATCATGACTTTCTCGATGACTTAAAAGAATATAATTAGTGTACACCTCTTATAGCTCCTGCAGGGTCTCCATGAAGACAGAAAACTTGGTCTTCCTACATCTGGACTTCATTTCATACACGACTATGGGGATGCCCAGGGAGGCCAGGTTATAGACTGGTTGGTCAAGAGAGGCAATGAGGGGCCAGCAGGTGGTGTGGTGGTTAAGGGTGCTGAACTCCCACAGGGTCAACTGCAGTTTGAGTCCCAGACCTATAAGTTTGCTTTCCCTCTCTTTCACTGCCCATTTCTGGTCAAATTAAAATAATAAATAAAGTTAAATAAAATAATTCTAAAAAAAAATGAAGGGCAACGTATCATTTACACAACATGGACTGAAACTTACTTTAATAAAAACTTTGGTGTCTTTGTGAGCTAGCTTGAGGGCGTTGTGGAACACCTTCAGGTCCTCTTCTAAAGCCAGGGTGGCGGCGGGCAGTTTCTGCTGCTCATGCTCTACGTGCTCTGCCAGTTTCCCAGGGCAGTCTATGAAAACAAGCCTTTTGCTACCTTTGAGGCCAGTCAGCAGCCGCTCGTGGTACTTGGTGTATTCCCTGACCCAGGAGTTACAGTTATAGATATAGACTGCAGAGACGTTGTCATAAGCAAAGCCAGGAAAAACAACAAACCACTTGGACAGAAAGTCTGTTTTGAAGCGATTGCTAGGCCCAGTATGGGTAAGGTCCACTACAATTTCGTATGGCTTTGCATAATATGGCTTTAAAGTCAGCAAGACATGGTATATTAGCAGATCTCCATTGATTTGACCAGTTTTGAACCTACAGAAAATGACAAAAAAGGACACGGATTGTTAACAAAATTATGAATAAATATACAGATGCCACTAAACTATTTTATTTCTTAATTTTTGATTAGCATCCTACAGAAAACAATAATATAATACAATTACTTGGAGTCTGAATTAATAGTTCTTCAGTCACTGAGAAATAAGCCTAAAGTAAAAGAGAAGAAACAAATCTCCAATTCAAAAATTTTGAGCATCAATAATCAAAATTTTGTCCATCAGTCAAGAAAGGAGTACAATAGTGGGCACTGGTTGGTTTGTCTCTTGGTGTCCTAAACTGGTGAGTGAGTGGGAATGACCCACTTAGAACTCTGGAGTGAACTGGAATGGCATTAGCCAATTCATATACTTCATTTGACCAGCGAGTGGTTCACCAATGAACACAAGACTCAAGTCAGACCAATCTGGGCCAAACAGGTCCAAATCAGTGATTTTAGCTTACACTGTCATATGAGAGTTCTCTCCTGATAGTTCTGTTTTTTAAAGTAAATAATAAATAAAGTTAAATAAAATAATTCTAAAAAAAAATGAAGGGCAACGTATCATTTACACAACATGGACTGAAACTTACTTTAATAAAAACTTTGGTGTCTTTGTGAGCTAGCTTGAGGGCGTTGTGGAACACCTTCAGGTCCTCTTCTAAAGCCAGGGTGGCGGCGGGCAGTTTCTGCTGCTCATGCTCTACGTGCTCTGCCAGTTTCCCAGGGCAGTCTATGAAAACAAGCCTTTTGCTACCTTTGAGGCCAGTCAGCAGCCGCTCGTGGTACTTGGTGTATTCCCTGACCCAGGAGTTACAGTTATAGATATAGACTGCAGAGACGTTGTCATAAGCAAAGCCAGGAAAAACAACAAACCACTTGGACAGAAAGTCTGTTTTGAAGCGATTGCTAGGCCCAGTATGGGTAAGGTCCACTACAATTTCGTATGGCTTTGCATAATATGGCTTTAAAGTCAGCAAGACATGGTATATTAGCAGATCTCCATTGATTTGACCAGTTTTGAACCTACAGAAAATGACAAAAAAGGACACGGATTGTTAACAAAATTATGAATAAATATACAGATGCCACTAAACTATTTTATTTCTTAATTTTTGATTAGCATCCTACAGAAAACAATAATATAATACAATTACTTGGAGTCTGAATTAATAGTTCTTCAGTCACTGAGAAATAAGCCTAAAGTAAAAGAGAAGAAACAAATCTCCAATTCAAAAATTTTGAGCATCAATAATCAAAATTTTGTCCATCAGTCAAGAAAGGAGTACAATAGTGGGCACTGGTTGGTTTGTCTCTTGGTGTCCTAAACTGGTGAGTGAGTGGGAATGACCCACTTAGAACTCTGGAGTGAACTGGAATGGCATTAGCCAATTCATATACTTCATTTGACCAGCGAGTGGTTCACCAATGAACACAAGACTCAAGTCAGACCAATCTGGGCCAAACAGGTCCAAATCAGTGATTTTAGCTTACACTGTCATATGAGAGTTCTCTCCTGATAGTTCTGTTTTTTAAAGTTTTATTTATTTATTTATTTTAAATTTTACCATAGGGATTATGTGCTCGCTGGAGTGCGGGGGGAGAGAGAGAGAGAGAAGAGAGACAAAGAGAGAGAGAGAGAGAGAGGAGGAGGAGAGAGATATCACCCCCTATGGGTGTTGGCTGCCCCACAATCCCTTCTCCTCCATCCTCCTTTCGGGATTTTGGATGCACACACATGTGCCTAGCATGATTTTCAAGCTACCAGGTCCAGGACTCAAACTGTGGTTGGCCAGAGCCTTAACTACCACTGCACCTGCTGGCCCCTTTCCTGATTTTTATAAACATGGGAATACACAGACCCGGGAGCTGCTAGCTTATACCTTAGAGTATAAAGGAAAATCCTGACTAAAAACTAAATAGAAAAGTGGAGAAATGTAGAAACTGGGACCCTGGCAATATTATCTCAGTCCTAGGTAAGTCCTTCAGGAGGTCAAATTTACCCCTAGGCTATTCAGTTGCATAAGCCAATATACCACTTGCTTATTTTTCCTACTGCTAGACAGCATATAAGCTAAAGAGTGAGAGAGAGACCACAATGCGGCTCATGCCCTAGTCCTTTTTCCTGTTTCTCCATTCTTTTGGGATCTGAGGCACACATGCACACATGTCCAACATGTTTTCTGAGTCTCTGGGGTTGGGTTTCAAGTTGTGGTGGGTCATGTGGGATACAGCTTCCTATGTACTGTGCTATAGGACCAGCCTAGTAAAAATACTCCTCCCCTTCTCCTCCACTTTTCCATCCCATAGGGATTCTGGACATGCACAAGTGTCTGGTATGTTTTTTAAGCTGTTGGTTTAGGGTTCAGACCACAAGACTGGCCATAATGGATTTAGCCCCCTTAACCACCAGGTCATAGGGCTGGTCCCCAATTCTGGATTAAGTCCTATCAAGTCACATCTTGCTTAAATCCAAAAATTGATAGTCAATATGAGTAGCCATAGTTGGGAACATCAGAAAGCCCTGAAGAACAGGTACTGGAATTTCAAATCAAAACAACCTATTTATTAATAAGTTAGGTCTAATGTTTCTGTTCTTGATGACTCTGGTAATAGTATTACTAAATAGGCTAAGATAAATACAGCATTTTCACCTGTTCGGAAAAACATAAGATTAAATTATGGTAAGTTAAACAGTTTTAAAACAAAAGAAAGGCCCAACCCTAATGGTGCAACACTTGGCAATGCTGGAAGTCATATGGAAGACTGGAGCTCAGTTCCCAGGTCAGCCTGTACTGGGTACCCGCGAGCCCATGATACTGACTGGCTGAAAAGGCTGGAGTTGGAGGAGGGCAGATCACACTCTGAGACCCTGTTGAGAATGCTTGTCTTTTCTCTGTCTCTCATTCTCATGAAATAAGTAAACAACCTTTTTCTTCTTTTCTTTTTTTTTTTTTTAAGAGAAATTCTTGCTATAGGGCATGTGCGCTTGCCAGAGAGACAGAGATAGAAAGCAAGAAATCACCCGCTAAAGAGATGGCCACACCGTAATGCCTTCTCCATTCTCCTCTCAGGATTTTGGCAGGCACGAATGCACATGTGCCCGGCCTGAGTTTTAAGCCGCCACGTCTAGGACTTGAACCACAGTTGACTATGTGGGTGTCCAGCAACATAGTCATTATGCCATCTGCTGGTCCCAGTAAACAAACTTTTAAAAACAGAAGTATTTTAAGAAAAATGAAAAGATATGAGGTAGTGCATAATCATTTATTCAAGGACCTATAGAAAAAAATATTGTTATGTTTAAAAGAAGGAGAGACAGACACAAATCGTGTAGTCAGTGGAAGCTATACAGAAGATGAAAGTGGGTGAACTGGGTAGGAGGAGTTGAGAACTCAACAAGAGGGAGTGGGCAGGACTCATGGAGGAGGTAAAATGGAAAAGAAACAGGAAACCAGTTATGCTGAGGAAACAGTCAGCTATGTGGCTGAAACGAAAATTCATAGGGAAGTTCTGAGAGAAAGCTGGGAAGATGCAGGATAGCCAAATTACGAAGGTGCCATAACTGTTCAACTAAAGAGCTTAGGTTCTCTCCCAGGGAGTATGGGATTTCTCAGAGTATGAAAACTACCAGCATTAGAATCAAGTGGTGCTTGATAAAAATGTGGTTTCCTGGTCCTAGCTCAAGCCCACTAAAATATGAATTTATATAGTAGAATCTGGCGATTTTCACTTTTTTTTTTTTTTTGAGAGGTTTTCACTATAGGGTGTGTGTGCTCACCAGAAAGAGAGAGAGAAACAGAGAGACAAAAAGCGAGAAATCACCCCCCCCCCCAAGAGGGATGGCCATGCTGCAATCCCTTCTCCTCCATTCTCCTCTCAGGATCTTGGGCATGCAAGCACACGCCCCCAGCGTGAACTTAAGCCACCAGTTCGGAGCTCGAACGGTGGTTGACTATATGGGAGTTCAGCGACATAGCCATTATGCTAACTGCTAGTCACAGATTTCCACGGTTTTTAAACAATTCTCTCATCTGATCTTTATGGGTCTTCTAAATCACTGCTACACATTATAGCAATTTACTCAACATTTAATTTTTAAAGAAAGAGGTGTTATAGCCTCCCCTTCTCCCCCAAAAATGGTATATATAAGATATATAAGGGAGGGAACCAGCAGTTAGCGTAATGGCTATGTCGCTGGACTCCCACGTAGTCGATCGTGGTTCGCGTCCTGGACCCGGTGGCTTGAGACTCACGCCGGGCGCGTGTGTGTGCGTGCCCAAGATCCCGAGAGGAGAATGGAGGAGAAGGGATTGCGGCGTGACCATCCCCCCTGGGGGGTGATTTCTCGCTTTCTGTCTCTATGTCTCTCTCTGTCTGTCTGGCGAGTACACGCGCCCTATAGCAAAAATCTCTCCAAAAAAAAAAAAAAGATATATAAGGGAATTGGGGCTAGCAAAAGAGTTACTGCAGTATTCTAGATATGGCCTAATAAAGACCTAAAATAATGCAGTGACAGTAAAAACAGGAAAGACAAAGGTCAATCTAAGAATACGAAGGAAGAACCACTGTGGTCTAAAGACTGAGGAGGGCTAGAAGAGAGAACTTGAATTAAAAGGACCAGCTGTACACCAGACCTCTAAGTTTATATGGAATGTTGCTACCATGAACAGAAGCAAGGAGGGTCATGAGCTGCAGACGCTTTTGGAGGAAAAATGAAGTCCAGTGTCGACATGTTGACATTTGAGGTGATGACAGGATATGTGAGGTGCGTGAGTATATACCACACCACACAACAGTAATTTTCATCCCATGTTATTAGACATCTTCATGCCAATCTTATTAGACATCTTCTCAAAGCATTGTTGCAGTTCCACAATCTCACTTGTCAGTTATCTGTATCAGTTTCTATTATCTGACCAATAATATCCTAAGGACTCCAAACTTAGATTTTCAATTAGTCTGTGGTATACAAATAAAATGTTCACAGAAGATTTTAATGCCACAGGGAAGATGCCATTTTAAAACCTCTTTTGCATTACACTAATATAGCATTCAAAAGCATAGAGCAGATATATAATAATGAGCCTAAGGTCAAAAGGCATTAAGTGGAAAACCCTCCCTGCTCTGGAGGCGGGGATTTGGTCTACAAAGCCTCCTGTCATGCCAGTGGCCAACAAGACAAGTTGGAGTTTTTTCTTTTTTTTCCCCTTGTGACATGTGCTTTAGCTGCAGCAAAAAGGAAATGTGTCATCTGTGGTTTGGTTTTAAGAGTGGAAAGCGAGCTCTACATATCCTTTTTTTTTTTAATTCAGATTTAATTTAAGGTTCATAGTCTTTGCCTCTATTTTGCTTTAAATTAGAAAAGAAGAAAAAGAAGTGGTTTATTAAATTCACACTGTAATCAGATTTTTCAGCACGCATTTGTAAGGTAGGTCAAATATATGGCTTTTCTTATGCGTTTTCAATGCTAACTTTGTACTGATTAGTATTTGAGGAAGTGCTTTGGTGCTTTGAAGGAGTGTGTAAGAATCTCACTAACAAAGTAGAATCATGAGTGACTAAAAATGTATGCTAGAGGTTTTTTTTTTTCCCCTGTGTTACTATGTACAATTTAAGTTGGAAATAGAAAGATTTGCCATCGACATGGAACTTTAAATTAAGACCAGGGAGGATCTGAGTTTAGACTCCACAATAAATTGGAAAGTTTTACTTATACTGCAAATACAAAAGTTTTACAAGATTCTCATTACTAATCCTTAGTCAGGCATTATAAAATTTTATCCAAAATGACCTGAGGTAAAGAAAACTCTTGATAATGTAATTTGGCCTCCACAGCATAAATTAGCAATACAGAAATAGTCCTCAATTTTCCGGCATTTATAAGAGCTACAGAAAGTCTCGTTTTGTTACCAGTTTGTTTATTTGGGCATGGCAGCACATCTGGCTGAAGACAATCAACAGCGGGCCTATTATCTGTCTCGTGGTAAGCACTGGGAAAACGTGTATGAATGCCATGATGTATACTACATTGTCAATTAACCTATGTGACAAGAATAACCCACTTTAAATCATTTCATCATCTAATGCAGAGGCTCAGTCTAGAGGACGGAGATTGTTTGCTAGCCCAATTTTCAGTATTTGTTTTTGTGAAAGAATCATAAAGTATCCAAACGTTTAGGCTGTTCAACTTAAAAACTGAAGTTGAAAAACTAAGTCAGTGCACTGTAGCTTTATTGTCTAATAAAGGTCATAATCCAAAAAGTAATCTTAATCCTAAAACACTTAATGAAACTTTTTTCCCTCTCTACTATTAATATTACTTCAGAAGTTAATTTCCAGTTAGCATTGTTTATTATATGCTACTTTTGTCTGGATAACTCAACATATCATACTATTCTTAATTTCTGTATTTCAATTCTATACAAATGTTATCCAATGACGTATAACAAGGATTTCTTATCAAATCTTGATACTTGAAAGCATGACTAGCAATGGCATGTGTCTTGGGAGTGGGTTAAAAATATAGACTCTCAGGCCCTACCCTAGACCAGCTGAATAAAAATCTGCATCAAAAAAGATTCCCAGGTACATTCAAGCTTGAGAAGAACATCAAATACAGGTCCTTAACCAGGTAATTTCACTTGGTAAATCTCACCAGAACAATCTAGTTTTTGCTTTGCAAATGCTGACGATAAAATGCTCTTACAAAAAGCTCTGGACAAATTGGCATATTATTATAAAAGAGATACCTCAATAATATTAGCCAAATTAGCAGTACCAGTTCTACTTAAATCTTGAATCACATAGCAGATAATAAGAATTAAGAACAGAACTTGTCCCCTCTCTGTACTGGCTTCCAGAAAGTTCAGAGCCAAATGGAATCTCAACTTTTTCAATGATATGTTGAAGTGCTTATGATCTGCCACTTCATTCTAAATCCCCCCAAATATTGATGCTTGTTCTTTTTATTTTATTGTAAAAATTTTTTTTTAGAGTTTAGAATTTAAAATTAGAAAAAAAGAAAACAGGCATAAATGATGATGAAAAAGAACCAATAACTTTAAGTTGAGCTTTTGAGATTGTTGAGAAGAAATCTGCTTCTTTTCCTTTGTTATGCCATATTTTGTCATTGAGAAAACGAATATATCTTTGCTTCCGGAAAATCACAGTAAGTCAGGAGAAGCAGCGATTAAAAAAAAAAAAATACTACCATAAAATTGCTTCTACAAATACTGGAAATACATTTCCAAGTACCAGTTTTATTTTAAGCTTCACGATAAACACCCAAGAAGAAGAATGAACACCTTGTATTCCCATTTGAAGTTCATTTCCCTTGGGTTGCTACCAGACTTTTCCCCCTTCCCACCCAAATAAAGCAATTTACATTTTCTTTTCATATAGTAAGCAAACCATTCAAGACTACATTTTTTTTTTCTCTTATTAACAAGGTGACAAGTTAGAGGGTGGGGAATTTCTGCAAGAAGTGGCTTTTTTTTCTTTTTCTTTTTTAAAAGAGGAATCAAAAAGTAAAAGCAGAAGTATCTGATTCAAAGCTGAAATCCAGCATGCTTAATAGGGAGAAAACTATATAAAGCTATGGTATTTATTTTAAAATCATGAACAGTTATTTGTAATGCTAACTTCTAATAGATAAAAGTATAGTCGCATAAGAATAATAGAAAACATTCAAATGTTAGCCATGAACTTGTGGTTTACTGAAACAGTTCAACTGTCTTTTAACTATAATTTCCCATATTCTCTCACAAATTAACCATTTATTTTGCTATTCCAACAGATTACCAGTATACTCACGGACATGGAATACATAGAGCATTACCTGCATCTTGTCTTTCTGATGACAACAGTTTTTTCTTTGTCTTCTGGGACAAAAGCCAACTATACCCATCTATGGGTTAACAACACTACTGCCTGGGATTCAGTTACTCAAAACAAGACGGGCAGAAACCAAGATGAAAACATTAACACAAATACTGTAACTCCTGGAAGTGACTACAGAGATAATTCTACAAACATGCCTGGCATAGCATTATCATCTCACATCATACCTTTAACTCCTACATTTGAGAAGGAGCTTTACACACCGTTTGTGGTCAGGAACAATTCTCCAGCAGTACAGAACATTGAAAACTCAAGCAAAAGTCATGGTGAAATTTTCAAAAAGGATGTGTGCGAGGAAAACAACATGGCTATGCTGATTTGCTTAATTATAATTGCAGTGCTTTTTCTTATCTGTACCCTTCTATTTCTGTCAACTGTGGTTCTGGCAAACAAAGTCTCATCTCTCAGACGATCAAAACAAGTAGGCAAGCGTCAGCCTAGAAGCAATGGCGATTTTCTGGCAAGCAGTGGTCTATGGCCTGCTGAATCAGACACTTGGAAAAGAGCAAAACAGCTTACAGGGCCCAACCTAATGATGCAATCTGGAGTGCTTACAGCGACAAGGGAAAGAAAAGATGAAGAAGGAACTGAAAAACTTACTAACTAGCAGATGCTTTAGTGAATCAACATGCAAAATGGCAATGAGAAAGGTTATGGAGTAAAAATGTCCGTTCTGACCTGATGATCTAAAATTCAGTATGGTAGGCCTTGAAATCTAGAATCAAGCAAGGGAAAAGCGGAGGTGTATGCCTGCTTACTCAAACTGTGTATTTCTGTTTTGACACTGAATATTTTAAAAACAAATAATAAAACCACCATGCACCTTCCCCCCTTGGAGAAGGATTTAAAAATAAGATGAAGAAACTGACTAACAGAGATAGTAAGGGATAATTAAAGAAATAGTTCCTATTCAGCAAGTACTTAGGATGACTTTTGCCTGAATGTAATTAAATTTTGAAGAGTCTCAGTGTGTCCTTAGAAGTTAAAAGTCCTAATGTGCAGAGCGGAATGATATAATTTAAAGGAACTTTGTTGGATGTGACAGAACCCATACCAGCTCATAAATCAACACAGCTAATTTTAGGCTACATGCGTTCATCTTTACATATGGCATACATAAAAAAATGTTTTTCCACTGTAAATATTATATAAAAACATTTAATTTTGTATAATATATTAAAATTTGTTAGACTAAAAATATGACTATGTATATTTGCATTTACTTTATCTTAGAACACATAAAAAACAATAATAAATATAGCACAAAAACCAGAGATTCATAACCACACCAGAAGGTTAAGTGTGAATGTAAGTATGCTTTACTTTTTAAAAGTAACATTCATCTTTCCTATAAATACTGCTTCCTGGAGCATTAGTAACAAATACTGAAATGCTGGCTATTTCTTGGACTTCAAGGATGCCAAGTACCCTAATAAATGGCCAATTTCATTTTTTACTATCCAGTGTAACACGAGCAAAGGAAAGGTGTGTGGTGCGTGTGTGTGTGGGGTGTGTATGTGTACGTACCTGCATGTTTTTTCAAGTTTGGGAAACAGGATACCTGAAGTAACTGTTTAGCCTTTTAAAAAACTGAGTTCAAGTGAAATAACTATATTCGATAATGACATACATTAAAGTCAAGAGCTCCATCTTTAATAAATATATTACAAAAATTGGTTTGAGAGACTTTCCAAATATCTACTGAAACTGAGGCAGGGCATACTAATTAAGGACCAAGTCACATTTAAAAGAATCTTCCCTTACTGAGCATTTATCTTGGGAACTATGCTAAGCTTTTTTTTTTTTTTTTAGAGGTTTTTGCTATAGGGCGTGTGTGCTCGCCAGCCAGAGAGAGAGAGACATAGAGACAGAAAGCGAGAAATCACCCCCAAGAGGGGATGGTCACGCCGCAATCCCTTCTCCTCCATTCTCCTCTTGGGATCTTGGGCACACATGCACACGTGCCTGGCGTGAGTTTTAAACCACCGGGTCCAGGACGCGAACCGTGGTCGACTACGTGGGAGTCCAGCGACATAGCCATTATGCTAACTGCTGGTTCCCATACGCTAACCATTTAAGAAAAGATGGCGGGACCAGCAGATGGCATAATGGCTACATCGCTGGACTCCCATGTAGTCGACCGTGGTTCGAGTCCTGGACCCCGTGGTTTAAACTCACGCCAGGTGCATGTGCATGCATGCCCAGAATCCCAAGAGGAGAATGGAGGAGAAGGGATTGTGGCATGCCCATCCCTTTTTTTTGCATGGCCATCCCCCCAGCCCCCACTGGAGGGTGATTTCTCGCTTTCTGTCTCTTTCTCTTTGGTGAGCGCATGCATCCTATAGCAAAACACACATACACACACACACACACTCAAAAAAAAAGAGATGTTTTATGTATTTTTTCCAAGTATAATGACAATCTTACTCTCCTTTTTTAGGTCTGTGACTCTCACCCTGGTTGTGTATAACAATAACCTAAGATGATTTTTTTTTTTTGAGAGAGATTTTGCTATAGGCCATGTGTGCACACTAGAAAGACAGAGAGACAGAAATCAAGAAATCACCACTGGGGGGGATGGCCATGCCACAATCCCTCCTCCTCCATTCTCCTCTTGGGATCTTGAGCATGCACACACACGTGCCCAGTATGAGTTTCAAGCCTGCATGGTCAACCATGTGATAGTAGAATGTAACCATTACACCATCTGCAGGTCCCAAGTCGAGAATCTTTTTAAAAACATTAATGCCTAGTTCCTGTGCCCTCCTTTTGATTCAGTTGGAATGGGATGAGCTCTAGGCATTGCTGATTTTTTCATAACTCCCAGAGGATCTGGCTTTTGGTCATTAAATTCACTTATTACAAGTTTTACAGCTCCAAACCTCTAGGTTATATCTTAAAATAAGTTGAGAGAGAGAAGCAGCAATTTTATTAACAATTTGTTAAAAAAATCCATTCTCTAAACAATAAATCATAACAATATTATTTCAAATAAAGCTGTATGTCAAAAGTAAAACGTGGGGCCCATAGATGGCATGATGGTTAAGGTGCTAGACTCCCACATGGGCGACTGCATTTCAAGTCCCAGAACTGGTGGCTTGCTTTCTTATTTTTCTTCTCTCTCTCTGGTCAAACTAAAAAATAATAGTAATAAATAAAATAAAACTTAATTTAAAACAAAAGGAAAAAGGAAAGCATGAGCATACTCATGCCAATTTCAGGGACATCAGATTATCTTTCGAAGGATAAATGGCCCAGATTAGAAATGGAACTAGGCAGAGCGCCCATTCTTTTCCTTCTTCTCCTTCTCTTTTGATATAGGGCGTGTGCGACATGAGAGACAGAGAGAAAGAGGGAAGGTAAGAAATCACCCCCTGGGGGAGTTGGCCAGGCCATAATCCCTTGTTTTCTATTCCCTCTCAGGATTTTGGGCATGTATACACATACACCTGGTGTATTTCCAAGACTCCAGGTCTAGGCCTTGAACCACACATTCAACCATGTGGGCTCCAATCATCTTAACCAACGTATCACCCGTCCAGCCCCAGAGCTCCGATTCTGTACCAATTTAAAAGTTGAAAGTGTGCACCAAAATATACAGTGATAAACCAAAGCACTTATTGAATCAAGTATCACAGAGGAAATTAAAGCACATTTTAGAGGCTGGTCCCATAGTGCAACAGTTAAGCACAGCTCAAAGGAACCCAGATTCCACATGACTAGCCAAGGCTCAAGTGCTGGTCCTATCAGCTTGGAAGACATGCCAGGCAGGTGCCCAGGATCCTGGCAGGATGGAAAATTGGGGGGAAAAGGGTTGTGGTCCCCAGAGGGTACTCCCCTCACCCCCGTATGTCTTTCAAGTGAAAACACATGCTCTCTGGCATTAAAAAAAATTTATCTTGGGAACCAGCAGTTAGCGTAATGGCTATGTCGCTGGACTCCCACGTAGTCGACCGCGGTTCGCGTCCCCCACCAGGTGGCTTAAAACCCACGCCAGGCGCGTGTGCGTGTCTGCCCAAGATCCCGAGAGGAGAATGGCGAAGGGACTGTGGCGTGACCATCCCCTCTGGGGGGTGATTTCTCGCTTTCTGTCTCTCTGTCTCTCTCTGGCGAGCGTACACGCCCTATAGTGAAAAACTTCTCAAAAAAAAATTTATCTTTGTAAAAACAGGATATTAACTAAGAAACTACTTCTATATTCATCATACTAGTCAAACATTTTCTTGCCTAACAGAAAGCTTTTAGTATAGGAGTATTTAAATTCATCTCTCACTATCTTAACTATTAAATATACACCCTGAGAATGATACCACCCAATGACAGTTCATGAACAACCAGAATTGTTTGTTCCTTTCCAGATTTCTCTGGGTTTTTGTTTGTTTGTTTGTTTGTTTGGAGAGATTTTTGCCCTAGGGCCCATCCACTCACTGGAGAGACAGAAATACAGAGAAAGTGAGAGGGAAAGTGAGAAATCATCCCACAGGGCGCAATGGCCACACTGCAATCCGTTCTCTGCTATTCTTCTCCTGGGATCTTGGGCACACACACACACACGTGCCCGGCATGATTTTCAAGCTACCGGGTCTAAGACTTGAAATGAGTCAGCCACATGGGAGTTCAGTGATGTAACTGCTATACCATCTGCTGGCCCCTTTAACAGATTTTTAAAGATGGTAAGGTATCACTGAGTTTGAAATTTAAGTTATTTCTGAATAGAATCATTTCATTTTTTACCTTTTTCTATCCCTGGTTATTATGGTTTATCAGCTTAATTCACAGATTTTAAACAGTGAATCAAAAGCTTTACAACATTCTTTTTTTTTCTTTTTGGAGAGGTTTTTGCTATAGGACGCGTGCACTCGCCAGACAGAGAAAGACATAGAGACAGAAAGCGAGAAATCACCCCCCAGGGGGGATGGTCACGCCGCAATCCCTTCTCCTCCATTCTCCTCTTGGGATCTTGGGCACGCACACACACGTGCCCAGCGTGAGTTTAAGCCACCGGGTCCGAGAATCGAACCGCGGTCGACTATGTGGGAGCCCAGCGACATAGCCATTATGCTAATTGCTGGTCCCAAAAGCTTTACAACATTCTGATTATACTCTGCATCTTGGTAGGGTTCCTTTAAACAAAAACTAATCTTTACCAAGTTTTTAATACCCTGAAGTTAAGAACTAGATCATAGTAAACTGTGTTCCTCAGCAATGACCAGAGGAGAGCAGAACAGGATCAATGCTTACTGTATCTGTTATAATGCAGAGGCACTTTTAATTTTATCCCATAAGAAATCCATAAATTAGGAATTATGATCTCCACTCTTCACATGAGAAAAGAAGCTAAAAGGTGATGTGCGCAAAAAAAAAAAAATCTGTATTCTGATGGACTCTCCCTTTTCAATACACTTTGCTGAATTAACTGCTTATTTAAAAAATGATTCCTGGGGCCAGCAGGTGGTGTGGTGGTTGAGGTGCTGGACTCCCACATGGTTTACTGTGGTTCGAGTCCTGGACCTGACCGCTTGCTTTCTCACATTCCTTTTCTCTCTCTTTCTTTCTGGTCAAATTAAAATAATAGTAATAATGAATAAAATAAATAATTCTTTAAAATTTTTTAAAGTGATTCCCAACTTATTTTATTTCCCATTGAGATGTACCTACATTGTGGGTAATCAAATAAATAGCTATAGACTTGAACTCAAAAAATCATTTAGTAAAGTATATGGTTAAGAAATTTAATTATACTTTTATTGGGCTTTGCCTACATTACATATGAAGAAGTAATGTTAACAGTTACTGGTTCCCTACCATGTGTGAGGCATTTATATGTGTTATGCTATTTTATTTAATCCTCACAATAATCTGAAAAGGGAAAAATTCCTCCAGAGGAAATGGTGACTCAGAAGTGCAGTGACTTGCCTAAGGTCACACAAGCAAACACTTACATGCACTTCTTACTAAAAGAAAGCTTGCAAGGGGGTAATAACCCAACTGGCAGCTTTGCCTTTGAATGAATGATTATCTCTTCAGGGCTCCATCCTAAACATTTCGATGAAATGATCACATTACTAGAGAGTCTCAAATGTTTACTTATAAGCATTAATTCAAAGCATTCAAATCATATAGCTCCAAACTGTGTTTCAAAATAAGCTCTGTAGAAGTAGTACATTTCTTAGTCATTTTGTGGTTTATTGCACTTCCGGAACCAGCTATTGATAAACTTCCTCCTTTTCTACAGAAACCATTTCAGTTTGTTAGGGGACCATTTATAATGTGAACTGAGCACCCCTTTTGCTTCTTTAGACAAATCACCAAAATGTTCAGTTAGAACAAGAACTTAGTTTTCTGCAAAAGAAGTTAACAACTGAGGTAAGAAAATTTTCACACAAGCAATCTGATTTGATCTTTGATTTATGTCAAATGTATTTCAAAAACTAAAATGTCATTTGTGTTTTAAACTTAAATTCGATCCTGATTGTCTAAAGATGTCTCTAACAGGTTTCTGTAGTTTTGTTGCATGGAATTTAAAAATATTCAGTGCTAAGCTTACATAAGAAAAAGATGTTCACCTAGGTTTGTGTAATATAAGCCCTTTTAAGTGCATTCAATCATAATGTTTGTTAACCTTAGTTTGTAATTAAAAGAAATAAACTACAGCTATAGTGGTAAGGCAAAGGGTTAGAAATAAAAGAGATTCCATAGGCTATGACTCAATCTACAACCTCCAAAATACGTTAAAAATTCTAACTTGCTTTCTATAAAACTTTCTTATATATATAACCCATATACTTATATTCTTATTTTTAATCCCGTTTAGTTTCCTCAGTAAGATCACTTTCACTTTTGCTTAATTTAAAAATAAAAATAAATAGATGTCATACATTATTATAGAGGTTTTATTTTGTTTACACAAATAGAATTATTCGATATATGAACACATTACGGCTTATCTTAAAAGCTTATCTTTAAAATGTTATAAGATGAATATGAATATATATATTCATACCATATGCATGTTTATGTCACATACTATTAAACCTTTAGCAAAAAGTTTAAGAAATTGGGGGGGAAGCCCACAGAAAAAAATAACAGAAAAGTGTTGGGGCGCATAAAAGATGTTTACTCAGTGGGTTAACTGGGTATTTACGAAGTCTGTCCAATACTAAAACTATGATGAGTTTACATTCCTGTAATATCAAGGAATAATAAATTAATAGTGGATAATATCCTGTTTCACCACCTTATATATACTTACGACTTTCTCTTACATACATCTATTTTAAATTCCTTCTAAGTAATTATCACATAAGTGAAAAAGTTAAGATTTTAATCTCTTTTTAAAGAAAGAAACTGTCTACACATTTTTAAAGGATTAGCCCCAAATTTAAAGCTTAACAGTGCCTGTGTTTTTAAATTAATTCCTATATAATTTTACTTAGAGGAAATTGTGACTGTTGAATAAGTTTGAGTTTGAAAGAATTTTAATATAAAAGTTTGACCATAAAATCTGATGCCTTTAAATATCCAATCTTTAAAAATCACCACAAATGTTTTAGAGTATACTACAAGTGACAGCTTACATATAGGCTAATCATTCAAGATTACTATAACTGTTTTCATGTAATCAGAGGACTAAATGGGTTTTCAAGTGTTTCCTTTCCTACTCTTTATGTGAGAACACCTCCAAAAGTCACTGACATATCTGTTGCCAGAGCGCTCACACCTCCTTCCTTTATAAACCATCCCTATTGTGTAATTTACGACGGAAGGCAGTGCAGCATACACCCTGACATGTAATAGAAGCCTGGCATGGCTTCTTTATTAGTGCCACTACTGAAAGCTGTGACACTGTCATCTTACCCAACTTCTCTGTGTCTCAGTTTCCTTATCTGTAAGATGAAAATACCACCATCTAGCTCCTTAAAATAGGACAGTGCTTAGAAACTGATGGGTGCTCTGTAAAACTTAGCTATCATCACTGATAAAAAGATGGTTGTCAAATACTTACTGTATGTGAAGGTCAATTTCCCTTTCTGCTCTTCCTCAAGATATAGAACTGTCATTTTCTTCCTTTTATGGTTTTAAAACTTCACTAGTTGGAGATAACACTACTAAATTTTAATCTATTGTAGCTGCATTATAACGTACTTCGATTATATTAAAGTAATTGAAATACGGACACAGTTTTTGATACTGCTATGCACACTTGGCTTTTTGTCTAGGATATGCTCTCCAAATCTTTCCTTTAAAAGATAATGGCATATATCTCACCATATCCAACTCAGCATCAATTTTAAATACTGAGTCCCTTATGAGAACATGTGTAATACATGGAGTGGGGGGAAACCCTACTTCACTGTAACTGCCTTTAAACATGCATAGCTAAAATGATTTATGTTTTTCTCCTTTTTAAAAATCTTAACTATCTAGAAAAAGCAAAGCATCAAAATCACACATTAAAACCTCAAAGTACCAACCTAAAATAATGAGTAAAATTCTGCCATATGAAAGTTGACAAGTTTGGAATCTGCCTGAATAGTAGACTAAGAGATTTCTTAAAAAATCCTATATACAATGTGTACTGGTTCTTTGGTGTAATAAGCAGGTATGCTTCTGAGTAGCTCCAGCAGACAGACAAAGAGGGAATCTTAAGGGCACTTAAAGCAGCCAGGAGAAATGAAATGAAAGATGAGTGAGTCTGAGAGGATGGCTCTGTCAAGTTCATCTTGGAAGGAGAACTACTCTTTGCTAACTCCCTGTACCCACGAAACACAGGCCAGGGACAAGAAATACCATTCTGTGGTTGTTTCTTTTATCAACTTAAATCTTTTTCACCAACTTCTTCATTTTATTCACTTCAATTTTCTACCCTAATTGTTGCTGACTACATGACCAACACTTTTCAATCACTTAGTAACTTTTTGTCTTTGTAATACCATTTCCAGTCAATTGGCCTTTCCCTTTTCCATTTATCTCCTGTTTCCTTTTTTTGAGAGGTTTTAGCTACAGGGTACATGTACTAGTCAGAATGACAGAGAGAGAGAGAGAGAGAGAGAGAGAGACAAAAAGAGAGAAATCACTCCCCAGGGGGGATGGTCACACCGCAATCCCTTCTCCTCCATTCTCCCTTCGGGATCTTGGGCATGCACGCACATGTTCCAGGCATGAGTTTAAGCTGCCAGGTCTGGGACTTGAACTGCAGTCGACTACATGAGAGTTCAGCGACATAGCCATTACATCAATTACTGGTTCCTCTGCTGTTTACTATAATTTTGGTTTTATTTTTCTCTTTTGTGTTATTATATACATATATATATATTTTTTTCATTCACTTTTCATTTTATCTTATTCTAAATTTTCTTTTTATTTCCCTGTCCTATTTTTTTTTTCTTGTTTATTTAATTACCTTTTTTCTTGCAAAAACGATGCTGGTACTTCAGGTACAAACTACATACATAAACTTTTTTTCTTAAAGAATTATTTCACTTTATTTATTTTTAATTTGACCAGAGAGGGACAGAGCAAGAGAGTGAGAGAGGGAAAGTGAGAAAGCAAGCCACCAGGTCCAGAACTCGAACCACGGTCGGCCATGTGGGAGTTCAATGTCCTTAATCACCATGCCACCTGCCAGCACCCACATGCATAAATTTTTAAAAATCTGTATGTTGTTGGGAACCAGCAGTTAGCGTAATGGCTATGTCGCTGGACTCCCACATAGTCGACCGCGGTTCACGTCCCGGACCCGGTGGCTTAAAACTCACGCCGGGCACGTGTGCGTACATGCCCAAGATCCCGAGAGGAGAATGGAGGAGAAGGGATTGCGGCGTGACCATCTCCCCTGGTGGGGTGATTATCTCGCTTTCTGTCTCTATGTCTCTCTCTGTCTGGCAAGCGCACGCGCCCTCTCGTGAAAAAGCTCTCCAAAAAAAAAAAAACAATCTGTATGTTGTTTAAATCTCTACACTGGAAATAGCACTGGCCTTTCTACTTCTGAGGAAAAAGTTTTTTCACTATATATTCCTTTTTTACTCTAAATCTTGCTCCTATCTTTTCTGGTCTATTCTAAGTTGCTACAGTGGACTCTAACACAGATTCCAGTATTCACAGAAGCAGATCCTAAGAAGGTGATCAGCTAACAGAAGTGATGGAGATGGTGGCAAGATAGGTCAAATATTATGTTGTTGGAAAAGCCATGATGTATTTTTCTATGTTTTTCTACGCAAAAATGTGTCACGACTTTGCCAACAACCCAATAGTTTAAGTACTGCCGTAATTCTTAAATGACACATGAAAATCTCATACACCAAGGTACTACCAACTTCCTATTGACATGAAATGCTTGAACCGGCACTTCCGCCACCCTGTCAGAGGGCTGCTGGCTGGACACCACACACAAGGAGCGTTGGCATCACGTTCCTGACCCTGCTCCTCCTCCGCAATCGCATTCCCGGAAAGCAGTTGATCGGGAAGCCCCGGCTGCCGTGCTTCGTGTCTTTGCAGGCGAAGAAGGACATGATCCATTGCCTGGAGATGGTGCACAAAACCACTACTGGCTGAGCATGCCGTACCTGACCACGGAGCAGGAGTATGGCCATGCCGCGGTGCGCAGGGCAGAGGCCTTTGCCGCCATCAAGGCGCTAGTACTTCCAAGTTTCCTCCGCATAGATTTAGTGTAGACCAGCTCAGCCATCTCAATGTCTCTAAGGAATGGTCCTAACCCTGTGGTTTGGTTTTACAGATCACTGGGCCGCTCTGTCCTTACCTGCCCTGGAACTAAAAAACTGGAGCTTCCAAAGCAATGTGAGCTTTTGCTCAGTCTTATTAAAACAAACACGGGGACCAGCAGTTAGCATAATGGCTATGTCGCTGGACTCCCATGTAGTCGACTGCGATTCGCATCCCAGAACCAGTGGCTTAAACTCATGCCCGGTACGTGTGCGTGCGTGCCCAAGATCCCGAGAGGAGAATGGAGGAGAAGGGATTGAGGCGTGGCCATCCCTCCTCGGGGGTGATTTCTCGCTTTCTGTCTCTCTGTCTCTCTCTTGTCTGTCTGCCCAGCGCAACCGCCTTATCGCAAAGTCCCCTCCAAAAAAAAAAAAAAAAACACGAACTTAGTGATGTGCATTTAACTCTCTAATCTTAAAAGTATCTTAAAAGTATAGTTGTCTAAACTATTTCTTCAGCTGGACAGATGGCATCAGAGATTTCCTGGGCCATAAATGCTGCATAATTATAAAGCTGCAGTAAAGCCACAAATGATAATTTGGGGTTCATGCTTGTGTCAATAGTTGAGATACCTGGGGAGTTTGATCGTGCAACGTCAGTTTGCTCGCCCTGTCAATAATTGCCTACTTGTAAATGGAGGAGCCAGCTGGTGTCATGGATAAGGCCGCTGGATCCGACATGGCTGACTATGCCCTTTTGAGTCCTGGACCCAACTACTAGAACTTACTAGGTGCATGTGTTTGGGTGCCCAAAATCCCTGGAGGAGAAAGGACTGCCACCCTCTTCCCCATGTGTTTTCTCGCCCCTCCTCCTATAAGTACATATTCCTAATAGCAGAATGCTTTTAAAAATTAAAAAAAAAATTAAATGGAAATATGACCATTTTAAGTATACTCCGAAAAGCATTTTCTTTTGGTACTTGACTACTAAAAATGAGCATTTAAATGAATAAAGAGTATTTATCAGAACTGTTAAAAAATAAGACAAAAGGCTTGAACCTATCAAAATCGATCTTACAAAACTAAGCTGAATTTATAATTGTATTCCTGTTTGGGTCCTTGCCTTCTCTAAATCCTTTTTCAGCTGACTGAAAAGAAGAACCATATGGTTTCTTTATTTTAAGCAAAGTCACAAGAAGAGGAAACATTTTTGGCTGAGGACAATTCATGGCCTACATTTTGTTGTTCTGAATAGCATATTTTTAAAAAACATTAAAAAAAAAAAAAGAACCTCTGAAGACAACACCCACCCCTCCACACTTGGTAATCTATAAAAACAGTGGGTAAGAATCGCATGGATGATGACCATTTGATGATTAAATCACCATACCTATACAAAAACTAATACATGTTTCCCTTAAATCTTTTCAAAGTGGATAAAAAGCACAATTTATTGACTGAGACTTCACCTTCTCTGCTTATATTCTGGTACTGGTATTAATAAAAAGTGAGAGCCAGTCAGTAACATGGTGGTTAAGGCTGCTGGATTCTACATGGCTTTGTGGTTCAAGTCCTAGACTCAACAGCTTGAAAAACACACTGAGTCTGTGTCCATGCATGAGTGCCCGAAATCCCAAGAGGGAGGAGAAACGGAGGAAAAGGCGCTGTGGTGTGGCCGTCATCCCCGGAGAGTGCTTTCTCACTTCCCTTTCTCCCTTCTCTGTCTCTCTGGCCAGGGCATGCACTTTTTAGCAAATTAATAAAGAAAAAGAAAAAGTGAGCAGGAAAGGAACAAAAAAGCCCAATACAGACTGTTTACTGAGACCCTAATATATAAAGCACTATGCTGCAGAGAAATAAAAAAATCAAAATATGAGGCAGTGTGGGATGAGAAAAAGAACACATGCTAAAATCATGGTCCTGGGTATAAATTCCCAATCTGTCATTAATAGTGATAGAACCCTGAGCAAATTGCTTAATTAATTAGAATCTGTATTTCTAAATCAAGAAGCCCTCATCTTCCTCATAAAGTAATTGGAAGGTGAAATGAAGTAAAGCATGTAGAACACTTGCAGTAGTACAATACACGGTATGTTCCAGGTAAGCTTTTTTTTTTTTTTTTTGCAGTAGTACAAAACACAGTATGTTCTAGGGTAAGCAGTTTTCTTTCTTTCTGTCTTCTTCAAGGTACTTTAGAATCTTGTTTGAGGGGGTAGAGGTAATAACAGCATGATTAATAATGTCTGCTCAGGGCAACTGTGGGTATAGAGTAAGTATGAAAGGTGAGGAAGGGGTGTGTTTGGGTGGATAAGTTTCAGTCATGAGATGGGAGTCTGAACCGGTTAATTCAAATCAGAAAGATGAAAATTGAGTTTAGAAATTTCATCTTGATAGTAATGAGGGACCCTCAAAGCGAGGGAATCATGCATACTTTTAGGATGAACTCATCAGCAGTATACAGGAGAATTCAACGAATTGCTTCCTGGGTCCTTGAAAAGTCATGATGTGCTTTTTCATGCTTTTCTATGCAAAAATGTGTCCTGACTTTTCCAACGACCCATATTTTAAAGTTTCAGTACCAGAGAGAACATAAAAGGGAAGAGAGAGTACCGGGGGAAAGTCACATGTCTCTTCTACTAAAACAAAGCCATTCATCCCACTGTGTACTAAGTGGTGGAGGAGTAAGCGATCGAAATTACTCGAACATGCTGAAAAGTCCACTTCTTTGCAAAAACTATTATTGTACCTTACAATAGAACGTCAAATCTCTCTTAGATAGGTCTGTAAGTCATTGAAAAACTATAGTTTCCCTAAAGTTAAGAAATAACTAAATTTTACCCATGCATGTCTAATATACAAAACCAGTATATTACACTCAGAGATGAAAACTGTCTTAGTTTAACTTACACTTCAGACATAAGGAAATTGAGAACAGGAACAATTAAGTGACTAGTTTTCATGGTTAGATGGGCAGTTAGGTGGCAAAACTGGAACTTAACGCTTTCAAATTTTAGCATATATCACATCCCACCAGCCAAACCTACATGTGCCTTCCTTCTGTGCCCATACATCATTCCCTTGGCTGAAATATTTATTTGCTTAATTAGTTCTTACGGACCTTTTAAGGGCCAGTTCAAGTTTTACTTCTGTGAGAAACCTTCCCTGAAGACCTCCCAGGTTGTTAGTTCTCCTGGGAACTGCATACCTTCATGAGAAAACTTACCAGACTATTGTAATTATATTTATTTACATATATACTTACTGCCAGAGGGCATGTGTGCTAGAGAGAGAGAGGGAAAGTGGACCATCGCCCAAGGGGGATGGTCACACTGTAACCCTGTCTCCCCACCTCTCTCTCTTTGGGATTTTGGGCACACATGCATACACACGTCTGGTGTGTTTTTCAGGTTGCTGGGTCCAGGACTTGAACTGTGCTATTGGTCATGTGAGATCCAGTCACCTTAACTACCACACCACCAGCCAATTCCAAAGATAAGTATATTTTTTAAAACCTGTTGATTCTACCACTAGAATCTGAAACATCTGAAGGTAGCAAGTATCTTTTACTTTCTTTTTTTTTTTCTGCCTTTTTTTTTTAATCTCCTAAATCTAGAACAGAACTTGAGAGAAAGATGGTGTCCATCAATAAATGAACAAAGGCAGCAGCAGGACTACTTGGCCAACTGGATAAGACTAACTCAGCCAGATTCAAACGTCACACTAGGATTCTGAGCGTAGGACTCTGAGTTGAATTTAGTCCTTTAAAAATCTGTGATCCTAACAAGAAGACACAGTACGGGACACTGCAGAAGCTACAAAGATTACTAATACAATAGACTCTGTGAGTAAGAAACTTAGCGGTCCTGTTAACAGGAACACATACAGGAGGTGGGAGAGGAGTCAGTTTGAGATAAAGACGAATTGGCTAAATTTGCTGATAGCAGGATACATACAAAGAAATGTCCACCAATAACTTGTACAAATAAAACAAAGATGATTTAGGTTGGATGCAAAGGTTTGGGAGTTATGACATAAAGTTGAGAACTCGAATCTCACAGAAGCAGGAACAAAGAAAAGGAGGTAAGAGTGAGAACTAAATATCAAGTATCCATATTTAGGAGGCAGGAGAGAAAGAGGAACTGATAGGAATAACATGAAAGGAAAACTGTATTACAAAAAGCTACTGAAATATTAGTGAAGAAACAGTCAACAATGTCAAATGTGGTCAAGAGAGGTAAAAAAAAAAGGCAAAAGAAAAAAAAAAGACCATTGGATGATGAAATAGATGAAGTTGAATGTTCTTCAAAACAGAAGAATCAATATATTTCTAGTAGCAAAGGGTAAAAAAAATAAGAGCACACATGGATCCAGCACATAGACAGTAAACATTTGAGAAGTAGGACTGTGGGATGAAGGGCTGTCATATACGAAGGTCAGAAGTTAGGAGTAGTAGGCCCAAGTACAAATCTTATAAAAGGCTTAGAGACAACACTGTCTCTCATGTTCAAATGCTGTATGATGAGTTATAGCATACTCAAGAGTTGTTTTGTATTAGCTTTTATAGTATATCAAATATAAATTAGGAATAACAAATACTAATCAAGTACCTACCTGGTTTACATCAGGCATTATAATAAAGAGTGAAATATAACTAGACACCAAATGACATCCAATTTTCTTTCTTTCTTTCATTATAAAACTACTGATAAAGAGGAAACATTCTGAAATGGAAACCAAATATTTTATCTTAATTTTGCTCTGTGGACACCTGAACAATACATTTTTCACAGAGACAGAGGCAAGTACAACAGAGAAGCAAATGTCACATGTCTCAGCTAAATCTCTAAACACAACAGGAAATCCTTTAGGTCAACCAACACAACTCAACATTTCTTCTGGACAACCAATATCACTTGCTCAAGTCAGCATTGAACAAACAACACCAGCTGCCTATGCCTCTTCTGGAAGACCAGCAGTACACACTTCTGCTGGACAAACACCTGCCTATAACATCACCAACCAACCAACACCAAAGGCCAATACTCCCCACCAACAAACAGCGCTACCTGTGTTCACCTCTGCCAGACAACTATCTTCCCCACCCGATACAGTCATCAGCAGACAGGTACCTACACCATCTGCCTACAATTCCACTCAACAAACATCATCATATGTTCACACCCCTTCTAGAAAACCAATACCACTGACTGTTCACAACCCATCCACACAACCAGTATCAACTACTAAAAATTCTCCGAAGATTACACCAGACTTCATCTTTGAAACTACCAGTAAAACCCCTCCCTCACATAAAAACTCCAATTCAATAGCTGCCATCTTAATTGGTATATTTCTGACTTTAATGTTGGTAGCTATAATCATAATTGTGCTATGGAAATGCTTGAGAAAACCAGTTTTAAATGATCAAAATTGGGCAGGTAGGTCTCCATTTGCTGACGGAGAAACCCCTGACATGTGTATGGATAACATTAGAGAAAATGAAGTACCCACAAAACGTATGTCAATTGTTTCACTCATGACCTGGAAACCAGGCAAAAGTACACTTTCAGCAGATGACTTAGAAATTAAGTTGTTTGAATCAAGTGAAAATATTGGAGAGTCCGACAACCCCAAAACAGAGAAAATAAAAGACCAAGTAAACGGTACATCAGAGGACAGTGCTGATGGATCAACAATTGGGACTGCTGTTTCTTCAGATGATGCAGACCTCCCTCCGCCACCTCCTCTTCTTGACTTGGAAGGACAGGAGAATAACCAATCTGACGACAAGCCCACAATGGTAACTGTACCTCCTCTTTCAAATGATCCTACCAGTCTCCAACCACCTCTGGACCATCTCAGTGAAGCCTGTGAAGATCAGAAATCTGAGCTCCAACAGTCATTTCCACCTCCCCCTGACTCACCTAACTTGCCCATGTTACCAGATGCTTTTGTGAAAAACCAAGATGATTCCAACCATGAGATCCAGTCTCAGGAATTTTCTGTTCCTTTTGACTCTGATCAAGATCTTAATGAATCCCTGCCACCTCCACCTGCAGAATTGTTATAAATATTACAACTTGTTCTTTAGCTGATTTTCCATCTTTAAATGAATGTGTGTTTTTTCTTCATGTGAAGAAATACATGAAATAGCAACTGATTGTCAGTTTTGATTTTTATTCATGAACTATCTGAAGTCTGTTCAAAGCCCATGTGCATAGGGGAAAAAAAAATCATTTAACAGTGATTTCCTTACTAGTTATATATCTTTAAAACATAGTATATTTTATATATGTAGATGGTATATATGTTAATAACAGCCATTTTGAAACAAGTGATGTATATATTATCATTACCCAATAGTTTGTTTCTCCTGAACAGCTGTGTATAAAATTATCTTGAATAAATAAATGTTTATTTTTGTCATTTCAAAGTTTGGGGTGGGGAGAAATAAAAGATTATATATATATGTCAAGTTTTAATTTAATACCTCAAGGAGTAAAAAATAAAATTCCAAATTTGTGGGATCAGAGATTAAAATGCATATTTGAAAATAAGAGAAAATTTCCTTTTTGGCCTCATTGGAAATGGCGAAAAAAATTAAAATAAACTGAGGGGTGGGAACCAGCAGTTAACATAATGGCTATGTCACTGGACTCCCACATAGTCGACCGCGGTTCGCATCCCGGACCCGGTGGCTTAAAACTCACGCCAGGCACGTGTGCGTGCGTGCCCAAGATCCCAAGAGGAGAATGGAGGAGAAGGGATTGCAGTGTAACCATCCCCCCTGGGGGGTGATTTCTCGCTTTCTGTCTCTCTGTCTCTCTCTGTCTGTCTGGTGAGCGCACGTGCCCTATAGCAAAAACCTCTTAAAAAAAAAAAAAAAAAACAACTGAGGGGTAGGGCTGGGAACATTTAACCTGAAAATAATGTAAGCAAATACCAGAAAATGTAAACATTTTCCTATCATGTTTGGGGGGGGAGCACACATTTTAAAACTAGCTTTTTAATATACTTTTTTCTTTGTTTGGGTGCTTACCCAGACAAAATGAAGTCTTATAGAGGAAAAAGAAAGAAAGAAAGAAAGAAAGAAAGAAAGAAAGAAAGAGAGAGAGAGAAAGAAAGAGAGAGAGAAAGAAAGAAAACAAACCCTGGTTTTATTCTAAATTTGGATAATTTTTCCAGGAAAAATGAGCCATTATCAAAATACAGACAGTTCCCAACTTTTCACTAAACTCATACTTTCCAACATGATACATTAAAACTCTTCAACTAACTTTCTTATGTAGAATTTAATCTTTTGACTATTACCTAACAATTAATAAATCTTGAGTTATCAGAGTATGGATGGGCTAACCTTTGTTCAATGGTCACTGTTTTATGCCCGTGGAGACCCCAGCCTGAGACTAAAGGAGTGTTCTTCTGCCCAACAAGCACACATTCTTCCTCATTCTCCCCACCTGAACTCTAGGGAGAAACAGTCATTTACTGAATAAAACAAAATGTGGCAGCCTTATTGGAAGCTTAGTCTCAAAGTTATGAGATTCTGAGAATAGGATACAGTATTTATTTGTAGCATGGGTATTCAAGAAACTAATAAAGCTCTATTTTAATGAAAAGTAGCAGGGTTTTCTGAACGTTGCGATTTTTTTTTTTTTTTTTTTTTTTTTTTTTGGGGGCCACTTCCACCACCACAAGTGTGAGAGA